TTGTAATTTCTCATTACAAAGAACCAGGAAAAATACAGCAAAGCAGAAATTTATCACATACCTTGTAACAATCAAGAAGGAACAGATGACAACATATTTCCTTACATAATACTACTGAATTAGGTGAAGTAACTACTGAATTAGAAAAAGAAATGTTGCCTATTGTCTTACAATAAAAATAAAACATGATGAAGCAGTAAGACTTCCAGATGATTAATTTTTTCACTTCAGCTCCGCACGAGGTACCTGCAGGTTTCTGCCATCGTAAAAAAGTGGTCTTTACACATTTTGTACCAGCTTGCCCTTCTTCCAGCCAAGGATCCACAGCTGTTTCCAGCTTTAGGTCAGTGCTGTGGTTTAGACCCACCTGGCAACCAAGCCCCATGAGCCACTTGCTCTCTCTTTCAGGAGAGAACTGGAAGGGTAAAAGTGAGAAAACTTGTAGGCTGAGAAAAAGACAATTTAATGGGGAATGCATAAGCCATGTCACCAGCAAAATGAACAAGGCATTCACTCACTGCTGCCCATAGGTGTCCAGCCATCCCCAGGAAAGCTGGGCTGCATCATGTGCAACAGTGACTTTGGGGAAGACAAACACTGTCACCCCAAACATCGCCCCCTTCCTCCTTCTTCCCCCAGCTCCACATGTGAGCATGATGCTGTGTGGTGTCGGGTATCCCTGTGGTCACTTGGGCTTGGCTGTCCCGGCTGTGTCCCCTCCCCACACCCTGTGCACCCCCAGCCCTCTCGGTGGTGGCGGGGGGGTGAGAGGCAGAAAAGACCTTGATGCTGTGTGAGCCCGGCTCAGCAATAACCAAAACATCTCTGTATTATCAACACTAACCTTCTAAGCCACAGCACAAAACAGTGCCCTTTTTGGTGCAAACACCGAGTACAGCACGTAAGGACTTTCCCAACAAGACAAAGATTTCACATGAAGTCAAAGTGTTCAGACAAAGCTGACGTTCTTTTACAGTGTCATTGAACAGCACCATCTAGATTAGGAAATGTCATTAATTATCTCCCTAACTGCATTGGGAAGCCTAAACCTAAGTCTGCAAAACAAGGTCATCAGGGACTGTTTTGTTTTTTTTTTTGTTATAAAGCAGGATAATTCATCACAACAAATCAGAAGGTAGCTCTTATCGAGAGCTTGCCTTTAAAAATGCTAAGGAGAGCAGATGTAGAACAGAAAGAAGGAGGGAGCATTAGAAACAAGCAGCAAAAAGGAGCATTTAGAAGTAATGGCAATGGGAGTAATATTAGAAGACTGAAGTATAGTATAGCAAGCAAGAGAGCAGGAAAGAAAAGGTAACTAGCCAATGAATGGCACATCTGTGCTTTTTGAAAAACTGTGCAGCTCCATGGAAGAGCCTTATGAAGCTTCCATCAAGTACAAAAGTAATTACTTCAAGATAATGTAGCTTACAGACAGATAGAAAGAAACTGTCCAGACCTCGCAGGATAAGGAATTTCCCACAATCAAATGTAAAAACAGCTCTGGATGCTGAATTTTTTTTCCCCATTACTGAAAAAAATAGAGATCAGATGTGAGTGTTAAAGGGAACTGAGACAGTAACAGTAAAAGGGAGCTGCCTCTCAGCCAGCCTGACCTGCACAGCTGACGGTGGCCACATGAAGCAAGACTGTGACTCATGAGAACAAAAAATGATGGGATGTTTGACACCTGGCAAGATGAAAAGAAGAATCCTGGAGGACCTGTGTATCCATCACTTATTCATGACACTGTGCCTACTGAAAACCATCCACAACATGGAAATTGCAGCATGGCTTTCAGGTGCACTGGGATTTACTCCACATAACTAGCAGCCATCGTGCTGAATTTCTCCTGAGGGAAAGGAAAAGGTAAGAATAAGACAAGCACATAATTTCAGAATATTTTAACACTCTGTCATGGTACATGATTAGCTGAGATGCCAGTATGATTAAGCATGGGAAGTAAATATTTACTTTATTATTTATAAATCATACTCAGAATGGCATATTCCTATGGGCTATTTGCAAAATATAGTTTAGGATACAAAAATGACTGACACATAGGACCTAACAATTTCTATTGCATATAGCTAGCTTTAAGCATGGCAGAAAGTCCATGAATCTTGAGAGAACTGCTGCATCCATCAGATTATAAAGGCTAAGGAAAATATGTAGTAAATCATGTAGTACATGTTCCACATGATTGGAACTTGCAAACTTTTACTTCATTTTATTTTAAAGATATTTGCACTTACATTGTGTATTTCAGTATTTCTGCAGCACCCTTGCTGTGTTGCATCATTGGTTCATTGTTAGGTTTATTCTTCTGTATTAGCACAGCAGATAAAAGAAGAATTTCTGGTTTGGTCCTTTTCCTTTCTAACTGTGATTTTTCTTCCAGGTATTTCAATTTCTTTCCTTCTGGCTAGATAGCTGTTCACATACTTTCCTCTGTATGCAAAGAAACTTCTCTGAAGTCTTGTGCAAATACAGAGGCCTAAGCATTAACAGCAGTACAAGAAGTGAAGAATGCTACTCTAAGCTTCTTCATTCTTTTGCCAGAAAACAACTTTGAGTTAGCTCTTACCAGGTAACTGGTAAAATTAACTGTTTCTGCACTGCCAGGCCCTAACACTGCAATAATTATATGTATTCTTAATGTTACAAGGCGAGCTGTCACATTTTTCAGTGGAGGCACTCAGGTACTTAAACCTACACAAAGAAAATTTCAGGGATAAAGCCCTATTTGCAGAAACCTGGGTAGCTAGAAAGATCAGGAGCTACAGAATGTCTGCCTGCTCTGCTGTCTGCAGTGAACTTCCTGGCTGACACATTTTTCATTCAAGCTGGTAGGCTGAGACAGGATTTCCACCAAGCCTTTTCTATTTGCACTGTGTGTAAAGTGAGTGATGCCAGTCCTGCCAGCAGAGCAGCAAAGTTTAAGAAACATAACCACAGAAATAACAGATCTAGTTTTTTTTTGTCAACTGCTTTTGTCTTTTTGAGCCTTTGAGTTGGTGTCATCAAGCCTCTCTTTAAACTATACAGTTGGAGTCTTAAAAGCAGACAACAGGGATTCTTGGGTAATCACATTTGCAACTTTCAGGAATACATTGAAGGCTGAATAAAAGACAACAAATTGACAATATTCCATTACACTGCAGTAGAAAGCTGTACAGGACAATAGCATTTACTCAGTCCCTTTTAATAACTCTTTTTCTGCAGTTCCTCTGCCCCTTCTGGAGGTGTTTGTGCAGATAAGCATCGAGCCTAGTCAGTCAGGTGACAGGTCCAGCTGCAAACTTGCACAAAACAATCAGAACAGTACGCCAGCTTTCAGCCAGAGCAGCACCTTCAGGCAGCTGCATGCCCTGCTGCAGAGCTAATGCTACCCGAGAGGTGGGCTGCATCTGAGAGAAAAGAGAGGAAAAGGAGATCACGGCAGCCTGGAACCACACTGAACTGCCTGAGAGGCAGATCTTCAGTGCTCATTCTCATGGATGCTAGGGAATGGGGCAAGAAAAACTATCTCAGCCCTAGGCCTTTTTCAGGTGTTTTTTTTTTTTTTTTTTGTGCAAATGGCTTTTGGAAAGCATTCATAATTAGTGAACAGGATTTCTTCACATAAGACAGCTGTTTGTTAAATGAGTGTGACTTTTAGTTTTTTCTCTCTCCCATTCTTATGCCCCTTACCACTCTCAAAGGTGCTTTTCTTCTTAACTACACTCTCATAAAAATTTACTGCTAATTAATTCCCTCTTTTGAATCCTTAATTTGCAGTTAAAATTTGCTAAATCCTGAAAATAACTATGCAAGCTCCAGGCTGGATCACTTTTCTGTGTAGGCCAGGAGGCAGTGGAGATAGGACAGTGTGTGTTTCACTTCCTGCCTTGTGCAAGCCTCCCCTCCTGCCCTCGGCTTGAAATAGGGGCAATTTCCACACCACACCAGCCTCCCTGCTGCAGTAATAATTCTTACAGCCAGGCAACAAACCACTGTCATTGCCTCTTCAGCCTTCATCCCTAATGGGTTTTGGTTCCTGATGTCTCACAAGATTTCACTGTATCTTTTGAATAACTTGTTCAAAACCCCACTTAACGTTTCCCAAACATCATTCCTTTGACTCAACCACCAAGGCACAGAATGGTTCTGGTCAGAAGGGACCACAGTGGGTCGTTTGGCCCAACCTCTCTGCTCAAGCAGGGTCGTTCCTGAGCACATGGCACAGGATTGTGTACAGATCATTCCACTGAGGGAATCTCCGGTGAGGAAGACCCCACGCTCTCTCTGGGCAACCTGTTCCAGTGGTGATACCCGCACAGTAAAGAAGTTCTCCCTCATGTTCAGCAGGATCTTCCTCTGCATCAGTTCCTGCCCGTTGCCTCTTGCCCTACGGCAGGGCACAACAAGGAGAGCCTGGAAAACCCTCTTGGCACTCCCCCTTAAGGCACCTATAGCCGAGGTCTCTTCTCCAGGCCCAGCTCCCTCAGCCCGTCCTTGTTAACACTTGCTCCGCTCCCTTAATCTCTGTTGCCCTCCGCAGGACACGCTCCGGGACACTCCAGCCCAGGGGCAGTGCGCCCCACAGGGCGAGCCCCCGCGCACCTCAGCGGGCCGGAGAGCAGCCCCGGGGACAGAGGTGCCGGTGTCCGGGTGTCGCGGTGTCCCGGTGTCGCCGCACGGGCCGGTGGGAACGCGGCGCGCACCACGTGAGAGCCGTGCCCGCACATGGCGGCGCTCACGTGACCGGAGCGGGGGCGCGCGGCGGTCACATGACGCGCCGGCGGCCCGCCTGACGTCCCGGGGCAGCCCGGCCCATGGCGCTCATGGCTGCGCTGCTGCTCGGCGCCCTCCTGGCGCTGCTCCCGCCCGCCGGGGCGGCCGCCGCCGCGCTCCCCGACCCCTACCAGGACCTGTGCAGGTGGGCGGCCGCTGGGGCGCGATGGGGCGGGTGCAGATAGGGCTGTACCGGGGGGTGCGGGAAGAGGGGGGGCGTATCTTGGTGCCCGTGCCGCTCCTGCCCTCCGCGGGAGCGCAGCACCGGGACTCGGCAGCGCGGGCACGGGCCCCGGGCTATTGCGGCCCCTGGGCTATTGGTCGCCCGTCCCGGGAAGGGTCAGGCCGGGGAGCTTCGGGGGAAGCGGCGGCCGTGTCCCCGGGCGTGAGGCCGAGGCTGGTCCGTGGCGAAGGCGCAGCAGGGCTGGGGGCCTGAGGGGCCGCTGCCCCGCGGGACCTCTCTGCATGGATCTCCGCGGCGCACACAGGAAATCTGCGGGGGAGAGGACGAGTAGACTTGCGCTGTGCAAAGCGCCTGTTGTTGGTGTAGTCTGAAAACCACGAAGTGTTGTTGGTTTGGAAGGGATGTCACTTGAGAGTTGGCTTTTTGATAAGGATATCACCATGTGCCACTCGCTTACTTACAGGTGGGTTGAGAAAGTTTTGGGAAACTTAGCACGTGGAGATGTCACCTTTATTCATGTCTTGACATTTTTCTGCTCTAGCCGTGAATTTAATATGGCACATATGTGTTGCCAGTCTTAATTTCTTAATTATTCGGCCAGAATATGCAGGGTACATACAAGAACCTATTTCACTCAGTGTCACTGCAAAGGCACCAGTGTAGCAGGGTGAATGTAGCATTAAGGGCAGAGGTTGGATCGCTGGAGGGAATGGGCTCTCCACCTGGCAGAATCAGGGATATGATATTCCTAAATGATGAAAAAAAGGGGGAAAAAAGTGGGTTGGTTTTCAAGAATAACCCATAAGGGTGGCAGATTGGTTTTGTCAGATGACCAACCTAATTGCAGAATTGAGACACTATTGTGTAGCTTTTGGAGGGAATTTACTACTTTGATGAGTGATTTTTGTTGGTGGTGGTTTTTTTTGTTCGTTTAGTTTTTTTGGTTTGTTTTTCCTTTTCTTCTTGGCTTTGTTGTGTGTCTGTGACTAGAGGAATATTTGAGAGTGCTGTGGAGAGACATGCAGTCTCATTTTGGATGCAAATTACTTCAGCTGGTTTCATTTTGTTACTGGCAAGTGGAAATAATTTGCACGCAGATAGCACAATCAGCAGGGTTTCCTTTTAAGATGGACTGCTTTAAAAGCATGTATTTGCTGTTGTGCCATGGTGGGGAAAAAACTGCTTTGAAGAACTTATGTCCAGTAATGCATAATGGGTAAAAAAAAAAAAAAAAGAACTTGAGCTCTGATAGGTGGGAAGTCCTCATGAAGCTCAGTGGGGAGGTTTCTTCTTGGGTACAGTTGCCAGAAAACTACACCAGGTGAGGAATGATGCAGGCAATGCAAACACACTACTGGTGGATTTCTCAGCCAAAAGCTGCAGTGTTGGTATGCAGGACAAGGCCCTGACCAACCTATTTTTGTACTGGCTTAAAACAAGGTTTTTATTTGTTTTACAGTTGTCAAGAAAACAGTGTCCTGGATTTTTGTGTAATAGGGCTGGTGAAACTGCAGCAGCTGTTGCATGTGGTGTGTGAGTGTCAGAAGGTGGGCTAAGAAGGAAATTGCTGGGGCTTAGGAGAGGCACTGGCTGTCCTTTAAGTAAGAGTAGGAAAGCTGTTTGGCAGGCAGGAGGAAAGGTGTCAAAACTGTTTTGCGCAAGAACTGCGGCATGAGGCTACTTAAACTGGAATTGGAGGTTTTTGTTGTTTGTTTTGTGTAGCCTTACTGCTGCTCTGCTTGGATGGTCTCAGGAAAGAAGAAAAGCTTTCATTCTCTGAAACTTTGTCTAATGGCATGGCTTCAGTCACTGATTTTGTTATGCTTTCTCCTTTGTTCTTGTGTGCTCCGGCAGCTGACTGTGGCTGTCATGTGACTTGCAGTTGGAATTCTTTTTTTATCCTCTGTGTAGAGGTTTCTCCAGGATTGCTGCAGTATGAGTACCTGGGAAAGAGTGAAAGAGTGTACAGGGAACTGGTTGGATATAGGAAGTTACTGGCCAGCCCGGTCTCTCCCAGATTTTCTTCTTTCCCTTATATCTTTCATGTTATGATGCAGGAAAAATTCTGGAGTCAGAATTAATTTTGTGACATGTTATTTAAGTCCATCTACTTCAAAAGAAATCGTGACAATTTGGGTTCACCTTCTACGTAACACTACAAAAGTTGCTGTGTAATTTTCCTTTCTTTCTTAAAAAAATGCAGAATGTGATGGTCGAACAGCAAATACAAGCTGCCTCCTCTGTGGGCTGTTTTGCCTGAGGATCTATCCTGGATGAGAGGTCATTTAATGACTGATGATGTTTTTGTCCCCTTGCAAGGATGGGAGCTAGTGCATAACTTCAGTGATTTTTTGACTTGTGGATGTCAGGGAATCTCAAACTGCTGTACAACACAGGATTGCTATTACACAGACTCCAAATTTTGGGGTTGTAAGTCAATTCTATTTTATGTTAAATGCATAGTTTTAACACAATTCCTACAGCTGACTGTACCTGCGCTTCTGCTCATTCAAAACTGTCTTTTCAGCCTTTGTTGTGAAACCACAACTGTGCTCATCTGTGCTGTTTGAAACCCCAAGCTTGGCCTTGGTGAAGAAGCACATGCTGAGTACAGAGGTGACCTTTGGGTGCACTCATTCAGCTCTATTAAGTGCTTTGACATATTTAAGTGGGAGATGTCATAAATAAAGTATTACTGGATTTATATACCAACGTGAATGGTTGTGTCACATGCCTGGGAAGCTGCCATTGTAGTGTCTGAATGTGATTTCTCAGCACATGAGCCACCTCCTGTAGCTTTTGCATGCTTAAACTTCAGGTTACCACCCCTTTTCTTAAGCATTCTCTGAAATGGTGTAGGAGATGTAGTTTAGAGTGCAGCATGAAAGACCAAGTGTCTTCTGGATGCAAAAAGCAGAAGATCTTGTAGTGTAGCTGTGAGGCTGTCATGCATGATGCACACGCAAGAAAACTTGCCTGAAGATACACAGTGTGCGTGGTAGCTGGAAAAGGGGACGGGTGATCTAGAGCAGAATTATGCATGGGTAGGGATGCATTAAAAAGCTCTTGAGGCACAGTGGTGGCTGTACTTTGTGCTGTTCAAGCTCTCATTTTCTGTAAGGAGAGCTTGCATTGACAGAGATTTCTTTACTGTACACGTTCGTGTGAAAAGGGTGGTCACATCTAATAGTGATTTCTGTGGCAGGTGAGCTGCAAGCTTCAAATTTACAGTGGCCATCTGTAAATGGCAATTGTTCCCGATCTTGTCTGCCCGAGATTGTGCTGGTTGAAACTGCTGGTAAAGAGCTTTGGATACTCGTTTAATCTCTGCAGTGTTCTAATAGCTGAGAAGCATCTGGGCACAAAACCGTGTGGCTGCATAATCACATGTGGATGTGCTTTCCAGCTCTGTGGTCGTAGGTTGCCTTGTCTCTCTGCCAGGTCGTCTGTGTAACACCCCCTCAGCAAAATGAGCTATTTCAGTGCATTCCCCTGAGAGGAAACACATGATTCTTTGCGACTGTGCTTTACAGCCGTTTGGAGCAGGGTGCACTGTTCTTCCCAGCAGTCATCCCTTGGGTAACAGTCTGAGAGCCAAAAAGCTTGAACTATTGTTGGAGATTGGTGGCAGTAGTATCTCTGGTGCTCTGCTGATTTGAAGTGGTTCCCTAGCACTCAGGCCTCAAAGTGGCTCAGGTGTTGGGATGCACTTGCTGTGACAGGAGTTAGCCTTTTGCACCTTGCTTGACTTCCGTACCTCAGCTGCTCATCACGAAGTAAACTGGACTTGCTTTTCCCTTTCTCATGTGATTTTTTTTCATATTGCTTCTTTGATTTGTTAAAAAAAGCAGAGCTCTCATTTGATGTTGCAGCTTGCTTGAAAAGTAGATTAATTTTCTTTTTCATGTGATTGCTTCAGTGTCTCAAGAACAATGCTAGGTAGCTGAAAAGGCTGACCTGCAGGCAGGGTTATACCCAATAACTCTTTTGGACCTTGCTTGCACAACTGCTTTTGACAGTGGTCTGAGCTGGCCCTGCCTCCTCCTGTGCTTCCTGGTGTTGGTGTATGGCCAGAAACCACCGTGAGCCAGACGGGGAACTGGCCAGGCTCAGTCCCCCTCCACACACATGCACATGCACCTGTTGTTTTTGCTGAGTTAAATTTGAGAGAGGACAGGCCCTGAGCCCAGCTTGTGTCAGGTGCTCGGGCCAGCAAAGCTGGCAGGAGACAGGAGAGCCTGCCCTGGGGGCATTGATGTGGGTGGTGTATGTTTCATCCCTTAATTGTGGGATAGTTCGCAGTTGGGTTTATCAGAAAACAAGCATTGTGGTTTCAGCAAAAATAACTGTTTGGCACTTTTATTCAGGGCAGACAGCATGTTTGAGCCCTGACCTTGAATTGCTCCAGAAATGGCTGTTTGAATGGTTTAATCTGCAAGGTAGCATCTCTACTGAGCCCCCTGGATCAGAGGATGCATCACACCCCACCCCACGATGGTGGCTGTTGCTTTTTAAAGGTGCTGGTATAACAGCTCCCTAAACTAGCTCAACTGCATTGAAGCAGGATAGCTTAAGCCCTTCAAAGAAGATAACTTCGTCTGGCCCTGGCAGAGGTGATTACATCAGGCATCACCACTGGTTGAGGCGAGTGCTGAGCAGGCTGGAGGAAGCCAGTTCATGTGACTCACATGGTCATGATGGGCAATGTGGTTGCCAACAGGTTGTTTCCATTATGGATTGCAGTACAGAGGTCAGCTTGTATCTTACTGGAAAGTAGAGCATATGCAACTTGAAACTATTCCCAGGTACTGATTTTAATGCCTGGAGTCTTGTGTGCGAAATAATTCCTGCTTTTACTGTGAAAGTACTTTGCATCTCTCTGAGAACAGCTGCTTAGGCTACATCTGGGCTGCTGTTACTCACAATGAATAAATCCCACCTTGCTCCTCCCACACATTAGAAAAAATAGAAGTCTCTGTAACATCCATGAAAGTAATACTACTCTGATTTTCACTTCAATGCGCCCCTGAAGTTGTGGTTTGGAACATGATTGAACATTAGATTTCATATTTCTTTGGTGCAGACTTGTTTTGAAGGATTCCTCAACCTTCCCTGTCCAGGGGCCTGTTACAGGGCAGAGGGAAGGTCTGGCTTCAGTGGCTGCTTTGCTTCTGTTCTGTAAGCTGCACATCTTGTTTCTGTTTTGCTTCTGGCCTGTGGGTGAACTGACTTGAAGATGCTGATTTCCTCTATTTCATAACATTGAACTGGAAAACCAAAACCTTAATCTCAGAGTGGTAATTCTGTTGTGTGAAGGACTTAAATTCTTGTTCCATTCACAAATAGATTTTAGCTTGCAAGGTCTCTATAAAAACCCACAACACACTGAACAACACCCCAGTTTGATCAAAAACATTGTGCCTTAGTATTATATATTAACTTTTTGTCATCTTCCAAAACCAGTTAAAAAAAAAAAAAAAGACTACTGGAGCTCTTCAGAAATTTTCAGTTCTCAATTTGAGAAATGCTAACTTTCTGGAGCTTCATTGTGAAGAAATTTGGTTTGGATTGAAATGCATTTTCTCCTGGATGTAAAACCAGCTTTGGTTTTAATCTCTTGCTGTTTTCAGAGCTCTTGAAGATAGTCAAGTTTTTCTAACTTCTTTTTTTGTGTGTGTGTTGAGAAGCTTTATTCCATTGCTGAACTTTGGTTATTCTCTACCATAGCTAAATTCTCATCATCCTCCTGCATTGATATTGCCTTTATCCACTTCAGAAATGCAATAGACTAGCTGAGAGAACTAATCAATGATTGTAAAAGGTCAGGTCTGCCAGCTTATGAGGAAAGAATAATGGCAAGTATTTGTCCAGGATTGAGACACAGTCCTTGAATGCATACTTTTATTGATGCTTTGGGTATGACTCAATACCTGGCAAGTTATTTTTGACCCTGGTATTAGGCTATAAATATAATGTCATGCTAATATATATTATATATGCTCAAATATAATATTATGCTAATGTATAAAGACTTGATTTGTTTTCTCGGTTCACAGAGAACACTCTCGTATTTGTCCCTAACTTGTTCCAGCCATCAGCAGTCTGAATTGAACATGGCTGCTGTAGTACAGGGAATCCAATAGCCCTGTAGTTAGTAATTAAAATGGAAAAGTATGTGATATCTTACTGCTGGCTCTTTGATTAGATATGGGATGCACTGGGTTTGAAAGGAATTCTCAGAGGATTTAAAATAAAGTAGCTGAACTGTTGTTGCCCCTTTCTCATCCAAGGACTGGAGTTCAGAGCTGAACAGGAATGGTGTCTCCTCCTGGGGGGATCTGGAGTATGATAATGCTGAGTGGTGCAAGACATATGACCAGAGATTAAGGCAAGCAAACCTGATGGGTGAAGCTTCTTATTAACTGAGATTTGTACATTAAGACAAATGCTTCTGTGGGTGAGATAGGTGCACTAAATTTTGTGTGAGTTTTAAATAACAGGAACGCCTAATACGTCACTGTGCTGTCCTCAGTTTTCTGATGTGTTGGTGAGTGTGTATTAATCCTACTGAAGTTTCCACTTGGAATAGAAAGGCAGCTGGGGGATCTGTTATGTTGCAAAAATCAAGTGTCCAGAAGATGCAGGCTGCTGCCAGTGCCAGAAGAGGGATAGCTGAGCCAAGGTGACAGCAAACATTTATTGAGTTGTGCTTTTTTAACAGAGCTTGGCCAGAGCACCCTGATAGTAAGCCAGGCTGTCTAAAGAGCTCCTGGCTCTAGACTAGATGACCTGAGCCTGCCTCAAGACTGAGCAGTGCTGTGTCATGCAACTGGCCACATTTCACTGCAGTCATACTGCCTGCTGTGAGGGGAGGGAATCCTTGCTCTGCCTCTGAACTGTGCTGCATTTGATTTTTTTTCTACTGTTACTCAGATTTATTCTTGGTTATATTTAACCTGAGCTTCATGTTCCTTTTCCAGTTTTTAGACAGCTGGCTTTCTGATAGGCCTGTAGCTAGGTAGTGTGATCTTTCACTGAGTGTCTTGAGGATAGCTCTGCTTGGTTTCCAGCTTTTGATGTATATGTAATTCCTAAAGGTGCAGCTGGGCCCTAATAAGCACTGTTAGCATCTTTTGGTCTGAGTACTGTAAGACTCTCAACCTTAATTTTGACCCTGAAGCTGGGGGACTCTGCTGCTCTATTCCACTTAGATTTTGCACTTCTTCCACTGTTGTTGGGCAGAACACTAAGGTGCAGTAGTGTCCGGCCTGCCAAAGTCATCTGAGAAATTTATCGGGCTGTCAAGGATAACATCTCACAGGTGATCATCCTTAGTCAGGGTGGCCTTCATAGAGATTTGGTGGGGAACAATGGATAATTGGGTGTTCAAGACAAGGAAAAATGGACTCGCTGTTACATTCCACAAGTGGTTAAATCTCTTCTGCTCTTAGTCCCAACAAAATAGCATTTATTTCTGGCATTTACAAATACAGAAAATGAATAGAAATTTAAGTTAGTGGTGCTCTTACCTTTAACTTGGTTATTTCAGGGACTGCTATCTAGATGGGATGCAATTCAGACAATTTGAATACCAACTCATAGGCATTTTTGTCTTTTCAGTTACACTTGGGAAGCAATTGATGCAGACAAAAAGGTGCTTTATAAAATAAATTTCTGTTCTGGTGTTGAAGAGTGTGGAACGGCAAGTGCAGTCTGTGCGTATGACATCAAGACGAATACCCATCTGTCTGTAGGTAAGTGTGTAAGTGTCTTGTAGGGAGTTCAGAACCGTGTTAATGGATGGTCTTATAACTGTTGCAAAGTTTGATGTGTTAGCAAAGATTTCCCTCCACTCCCCCTGGCCCCCTCTTGGAACTGTGTAAAACTTTGGTTTTTTGCAGATTTACTAGGGAGATTTGGTAAAACATGATCTTATTGTAGATAATGACTTTACGGGACAGTGAAATGGATTTTATGCTCTAGTTAAGTGTAATTTAGTGTGTAAGTATGCAAGGCTACCTCCAGGACAATAAGCGCATCTACCTCTGTCAGGGTATGGACTGTGCACAACTTTGTAAATACTGAACACAGAATAGAGGTTGAGTTACAGCTCTAAAGTATATTCAGCCTAGCCTGATGTAATGTCAGATATTTGTTCAGAGGCAGGTTGCTCATTGTAGTGCAGTCTTGGGAGTATTGCTAGGTGTCTGGGGTGTCATCTTCAAGTTGTTCCACACAGAAAGGAAGCTAATTACATGCAGTTCTCTGGTTGTGGTTACACTTGTGAAAGCTGGTGTCAGCTTCAGTAGTTCACAGATGTCCTTGGTATTCTGAGGAGAGGCAGACTCGTGCATGCTGATCTAAATATGAAACTGACGTATTCCTATACATGTACACGTGATTTCATCAGTCAGAAGCACCTTGTGGTCTGAACAGTATTTTTTTTTATGAGTTAATGTGATTTATTTTCATGGATGTTTGTCACTTTCAAGGTTGCTTTTGCATTTTGGCTAATGAGACAATAATATATGAGTATTATTCAAGAGGCTTTCTCATAGTTGACTGTAACTTCTAAAAGAATAAAATAATAGCGTTCTGAAGAGCAATATCTCTTCAGACTTCTTCATAGTATCTGGAGATCTGAAATCTGATTTAACGTGCTTGCCAATCTTGCCAGACAGCTCTTAAAAGAAGCTATGATTCTTCATTGAATTGCCTGAGCTTGAACTGCCAGAATGTGGTGAGGAGGAAAGTGTTTCTCATCTGTTATGCCAATGCACAGCAGCTAGTCAGCTTTCATTCTCCCCACACCTCTCTATCTCAAAGCAGAGATGCTTTGGTTTCAGTCAATGCTCCATGAGTCCTTTTCAAACAAGCTGGTAATGTTGGGACCCAGGCTTACAGAATCACCGAGTGCATGAATAAAGATATATTCAGGCTCCAGAGTTCTCTGGGATGACTGGTTAGATTGCATTTGTATTCAAACTGCAACTGCATGTAGTGTAGCGTCTTCTCTCTTGAGGAGTATGGCATATTAGAGCACTTGATGCTGTTATTCTTGTTGTACATTTTAGGAATGAAACACATTTTTGTTTCCTGCTGATGGGGGTCTCAGCTCATATGCTGTTGAGGCTTCAGTTGCCTGTGGATTAGAAAAGAAAGCAGCATCTGAGTGTCTGTTTTAACTTGCTGCTTTGGGTGAGACTGGAATGTGGCAGGTGGAGTGAGATTGAGGAAGTCTGTTCTCCACAGGGAAGTGTGAGAACTAGAGGCTTGTGTAGGTTTTGTTCCACACTTTTTGTGGAGAGAGGAAGGGCAAACAGAACTGGGTGGTGACTGAGCAGTATCAAATATTCCTCTGTGTGGAAACCTTGAGTTCCTAGGTGCCTCTGTGCTTCTGAGTGGAAGAGGATTTAGCAACAGATATACTGTGGTCTTGCCAGGGCAGTTGGAAATGACTTTCAAAGGTTAAGCCATGAATCTTGTTCAAGTGAGATATTTTTAACTACCCTGCGATAAAGTGCGAAAACAAGGTGAACAGTTAACGTTGTCATTGAATTTTGGTTTTTTCTATTGGTCAAATTGTCCAAGTTTTGTTCTTGCTCATGCCTCTAAATGCCTTGAAGCTTCATCACCATCGCACTGAGTTTAGATCATGCTAATAGGTGATCAAACCTGTTTGTTAAAAAGTTTAAAAAAATAAATCACTCCTAGTGAGAAAAGAGGAATCTCTCTGATCCAGGTCTAGGGAGGTGTAGACTCCTGGCTACTTAAACCAGCTAAACCACATACTTGTTTTCAAGCAGTCCAGATGGCATGAGGTAACCTGTATGCCAAAGCTGTGGGCCGATGAAGGACATTTATTTGGGGGAAGAAGGGCAGTTTGTCGACGGATAAATTTTGTTAAGTAGTAAGCTTTCTTCAAATATGGGTTTAATCAGTTCTCTTCTTCATTCTTTCAGAAAAAACAATGCAGTGCAAGCAGTTCTTTTGTTTTTTAGATATCATCTGTGCAAGGGATGACAGCTGTAGGACTGTTGCTCCCAGCTTTGAGGGGTGTTTAGGCCATATGCTCTGTGGCAGTAATCAGCCTGTATCCCAGACAAGCCTTGTGGCTAACCTTAACTGTGTGTCAGATGTACCAGGGTTTGCATGGATACCCCAAAGGCCTCTCCTCTGTACTTTTATTGATTAATCCTAGAAGTTTTCAAGGATAGGCAGATGTTTAGTTCATGAACATCAGTGACGATGGAAATAACATGGTAGTTATTTAACTTTCAGCTTGCCATGATACCTAGTGACTCATGTGCCATGTACTTGGACTGCTTCTAGAAAATGGAGATATTACTTTAAGTGTCTGTTAATCTGATCGTGGAATGTGCACTTTGTCCAGCTGCTGTAGGATGAGTGGACATGAAATGATAGCTGCCTCTTAAAAGCCACTTTATTCTGGACAATTTCTTAGATATCTTCCATGAGTGCCTTTTTCCTGCTAGGTAGCTAAACAGATGGAGTCAATGAACAGAAAATGTTGGGAACAGTGCCTTTGGTACTGATTTAGCACAACTGTGTAATATGAAGTATTTGGTGCTAATTTTTGTGAACAGTACTAGCTGATTTGCAGTGTGTTGCTTTGTGGAAACAACATGTCTCTGAAGGCATGAAGAAACATGGGTGATGATTGTAGAGGGAGTTTGATGCTACAGTAAAAGTGGTTGCAGCTGTGGGAAGGAAGCTGATCATGTGAGGGGCTGATATTCCTTGCGCTGTGAGCAAGGGTGTGACGAGGCATGTGCCTCTGAAGAGGCTTACTAAAACTTTTAGCAAGTTCCCAGACTAATTGTAAGCATGTTCAGGGGAAGAGAGCATATGTGTTGGCCTGTAGTAAACAAGATTTACTGGCTGAACTTGTTTTTTCTTGAATATTACTTTAACTGAGAAAATTGGAATGAGCTCAGAAGTGCCTTTAACACAATGCACTGTTTTTAGCACAGAGAGAAGCTGGTGCTTACAGAGCACAAAGTCCTCAGATGGTGCAGCCATAAGTTCCCTGCTAAATAGGAGCTTATAGCTGTGTGCATTTATAACTGGAGAGGTTTTAAGTCATGTGCATATTGTTACTGTATACATCTCTTGCCTAGAAAGTTGTGTTGGCTTCCTTCTGCTAATCTGAGGAAGAAAAGAGGACACCTTGACAGTATCTTCTAAACAATCATGTGATAAGTAACACTCGTGCTCTCAAAGCAGAATGTGGCTCTTAGGTTTAAGACAGCTGCATGGCACTTGGGCTAGCATCAGTGCTGGAAGCTGTAGAACATGAAGATGGCCTTTTGATAATACAGGAAATAAAAAAAGGCACAAACCACATGTATGATCTTTCTGCACAGTTTTTTGACTTCTGCTCCCCTTCTGTTCTCTAGGCTGTATTATGTGGGTACAGTGTAGTTTTTCTTGCCTTAAGTGAGGAGGTAACAGGCTTGGCAAAGTTCCTACAAGTGTATTTTTAAAAATGAAACAACATTTGGCCTAGGTACAAAGCTGCTATCTGCAATGATTACAGATCTGACTTGCTTTCTCCCTAGTGTAGACATAAACTGAAATGGAAAGGGGGAAACTTATCCATGCTCACACTTTATAGCATTTTCTGTAGTTCAAACCAAACTCATGGCAGACTTAAAATCTACTTCTTTAAAAAACAAGACAAAAAAACCCCAACAAAGCAAAAAAACCCCCAAAAAACCAACAAAAAACCCCCAGGCTGGAATTAGCGTGTAAGGTCTAAAAGCGGTTGGTGTTTAATATTAACCAAAATGGGCTTGAGCAGGAACATTTCAGTGGCCTGAGCTGGTGCTCAGCATGGCTTGAAATGTGCTCCACCTTTCCCCTTCTTGTCAAGTGCTGGGGAGGAGAGCAGTGTGCAGTGACAAAGCACTGCCCCTACTCGTCGTGCAGCATGTGAGCTGTGCTAAAGGGGATGGGGGATGTGGAGAATTAGCATTGAGGCAGTGGATCTGTGCTGGTTTGTCTGCAGAGAGTGCCAGTGCATGGGCACCAGTGTGTTCTTCATTAAGTAGATTAACTATTAATGGAGCCAGCAATGTGCAGCCCAGAAAGCCAGCTGTATCAAAAGCAATGTGGCCAGCAGGTCGAGGGAGTTGATTCTGCCCCTCCTTTCCCTCTCGTGAGACCACACCTGGGCTAATGCTTCCAGTTTTGGGGTCCTCAGCACTGTAAGGACATGCACCTGTTGGAGCAGGTCCAGAGGAGGGTCACAAAAATGCTCACAGGACTGGAGCACCTCTCCTATGAAGACAGAGTGAGAGAGTTGAGGTTGGTTAGCTTGGTGAAGAGAAGACTCCAGGGAGACCTTATTCAGCATCCTGGTGCTTATGGGAGGCTTATAAGAAAAAATGAGGACTTAGCAGGGCCTGTTACAGGACAAAAGGTAATAATTTTAAACCAAAGGAGGGTAGATTCAGACTAGATATAAGGAATAAATTTCTTTGTGATGATGGTGGTGAGGCAGTGGAACAAGTTGTCCAGAGAGGTTGCAGATGCCCCATGCTGAAAATGTTCAAGGTCCAGCTGAACAGGGCTCTGAGCAACTGATAGAGTTGGAGATGTCCCTGCTTATTGCAGAGGGGTCCCTTCTAAGCAAAAACCTTTCTATGATAGACTCTCTCTCATCTTGTGCTGATGCTATTGCTATAAATGGTATAAAGGCTGAGAAACTGATAAATAGAAACTCGTAGGAGGAAGAAGTGAATTGTGATTGAACATAGTTGGTAACAGCTTCCCTTGTTTCTAAGGAGGTGACTGGATTGTAGTAGCACCTGCTGTTGTACTTTCATTTTAAAAAGTGTTTGCTAAAAACCTTTAAGAAAGTACAAGTGTGGTTAGAGAGTCAAATACTATCTTAACTTGGATCTGATCTTTCAGATCAGAAAATCCACAAAGATCTTTAGTTGTACTGTCTTCAAGTGGACTTGTATGTCTTGTGCTGCTCGGTGGTTGAAACTAGACCCTGTCTGTTGAGATTCTATGAAGGTGTTGCATTATAACACCCTTTTTCCCCCCACCTTCTCATTTTTAAACCCTAGGTGACTTAGCCTTGCAAAAAGTTTCTGAAAGTCTTCTGGAGTTCAACACTACACGTAACTGCTTGCAGCAAGGCAGTGAACACCAAATTCAAAGCAATATTAACTTCCTGTGTGGGAAAACACTGGTAAGTCTAAATAATGTGCTGTTATCTTCAATGGAAATGACAAGTAGTTCTGACTTGCTTTGTAAAGAGACTTGCTGTACTTTTGGGTGTACTGATTACTGAGCTTCACAGCTTAAAGAAGAGCCAGTTACATTTTACTGTTAAGTTAAAGGTAATTATTTATTGTGGCTTTCAAAATTCAGTCCTGGTAAAAAATTGTTGCTGGTCTGCAGCTCTAGCTCTGGTTATGGGCTCTTGTTTGTCTTTAATGTTTCTACATGGTTGGCACTGTAGTATTTTATTAGCTTAATATGGAGGAATGAGTCTACAGTATGCAGGGTACCAAACAGTGTGAGCTGTTGTTTAATTGTTGGCTGCGGATATGGCAGGGCTGTTTAATAGAACAGTATTGAAGAAAATGACTGACCTCTTGTTGTGGGGCAGCATAGTTGACAGCAATAAGCCTTGGGCTTGGTCTGCACATTGTTGAGCTAACTGTGCTTATACAGCCAGCTGGGCTTCTGAGGAAATAGTTGTTTGTGAGAATGTGATTGGAGATCCCCAGAAAGTTTCTAGGGGCCTGTGTGCATGCAGTTCACTTCAAAGTGCTTTTGGAGTTACACCCTCCAGACACTTAACAGGTAGGAGAGCTTGCTACAGACTGTGATCAGTTCACGTATTTGTGTATTCAGGAGAAGTATTTATTGGTGCTGCTCTTGGCACTGACAATGCTACTGCACACCCCCTCTTGGAAATCCAGCCAATTCAAACAAAGTGCCAGTGCAGCAGAGACTTAAATCCTTCTTGTTCTGTTTCAGCAGATGACTCTTTAAACTAAATTAAAAATTATTGCTCAATTTCAACTGTAACACCAGATCATACTGATCTTCAGACTTCTTCTGGTTAGCTCAGTTCATCTCGTGACCTAGTAAAAGGATTTTGTAATAGTGTCTGGAACAACTTGTTTCGTCCCCTTTTATGGCAGAGTTAAATGAGAGAGGTAATCAGTTTGTGTGCTAAACTGCTTCTAGCTGAGGTGATGGAGGGCCAAGTGAAAAATGGTTGTCTTTTCACTGGGAGGCATTCAGTTGAACATCCAGTCCTGAACCATCTTGAATTATATACTAAGGTGTATAACATGAGCCTATAAAAATGGGTCAGGTCAGGGATATTCTTTCTGTGTAGCAGAGACTGCTAATCAGTTGTTTCTGTAGGATAAAAGGGAGCTGATAAACCATGCATTGCCTCACTGTGTTAACCTATTTACTATATGGATTTCTCTTGGTGTCTTCCTTTCTAGTAAGCAGATATGACTGGTGCTTCTGTCATTATCAGTTGGCATAGTGAACACTTCTAAAAGATGGAATACAGTCACTGCATATTGGGACTGGATATGTTGAGTATTGCTGCAGACTACAGATTTGGCATCTTGCATCTTCTTGAGTGGCCTAACAAAGCTGTTATATAACAATCTTGCTGTTAACGAGTGCCATTAAGAAATTGTATGTCCTTGTTCTTTGATGTGCTGTATTCTGTTTTTCTTGATCTCTTGAATAAACTTCATGATGTCTACAGATGTAAAATAAACCCAGTGTGTTTTTCAAAGCATTATTTTTTCTTACTTAAAATAGGGTACCCCTGAATTTGTAACAGCAACAGAGTGTGTGCACTATTTTGAATGGAGGACCTTTGTGGCTTGCAAGAAAGACTTGTTTAAACCTGTGAAAGAGGTAATCTATGTACTATCCACGCAGAAGTTACTCTTCACATATGTGACAGTTGTACTCTAATTACCTGCCCCCACCCCAAATTAATCTGAACAACCTCCATAAACTTATGTTTTTCACAGGCATGTAAAGCATAAATGTTGGAAGTTGGTGGAGCTGAGAATTTTAAATAACTCTTGAACTTTTTCTGTCCATTGGGTGGTTGTTTATAGTAAAACTCTTTTAAAAGCTGGAGCAAATGAGTCTAGCTTTGGATGCCTCATTTTAATCAGGCTAAATTTAATGTCTATCTTTGAGCTTCCAGAAGTAAAAAAACTTTACCACACACTAACAGGGCTTCATATATGCCTGTTCATTACTTCCCTCTACTAGTGTAGTGTGGTTTGCATGTAATTTTTTGTTGTTGTTCTAGGTCCCTTGCTATGCGTTTGATGAAGATCTCAAGAAACATGACTTGAATCCTCTCATCCAAGTTTCAGGACACTACTTGGTGGATGATTCTGATGATGATTCCTTGTTCATAAATGTCTGCAGGGATATAGGTTTGAGTGGTTTTTTGTGTCACCTGTCAGTGTGTAAATTTCTTCTAATGTGGTTCTTCTTTATTGTCTCCATTAAAGCTGTCCTATGTCCAAAGTTCAGTATTTCAAGATTTAGATAATTATTTTGCACTCCCTATTCTCCAAGTATTGAGGTGTTCGGAGATCTGCCCCTTCTGGATGTGCAAGTACTGTTGGCACAGTTTTAAGTGCCTTTTTCTGAGTGGGAGAGGGCAGCTTGTCTTGTGTCTGTGTTTTGTTTGCTGCCAGATAGGACCAATATTTTTCACAGGGCTTCATATGCTCCAAGTTTATTCGTTTGGACTCCAGGTTGTTGCCCAGTTCCAGATGAATATCCTGAGGTACATCTAAAAGCATCGAAGTGCATCTAAGCACTGTTTAGGTGCTTGCCTAAGTACTGGTGCATAGCTAGCACTTCACTCTCAATTGAAAGCTATACGTATAAGGAATTAAACCAGCAAAAACACATATTTGAAACTTGCTGAAAAGGTTAGTTTAGCTGTATACTCCCACTGCATTTTTTATGTAGCAGTTAAATATGTTTTGTGCCCCTGTTAAGGGTTTAATGCTTCTAGTTTTAGTGAGAGGTCTAGTCTTTTAAACATCTCACTAGTATGGAACTTTTTGCTGACAGCTTTGAATTAGATGATTAATAAGAAACAAAGGAGGGGAGGAGTAAGGAGGAGTTAGCCCTGACTTGGTTGTGGGGAAAAAAAGAAATACTTGGCACACTTTTGGAAGTTTTCAAAGCCCTGTGTATCCAGCAGCTGTAGTAGCAATTAGCTGCAGCTGTTTTGTCAGGAAGGATGAAGTTGCTGTCACCAACCAGGGCAGCATGAATTACCACAAGCACTGCAGGTTTTGTCTTGTCAGTTTTACATTCTAATGTAGCCTGTTTTTTTAGAACTATTTTCAGAAGAACCCACAGATGAAATGGCAAGATACTTTAGGTACAGCAGGGCTTAGAAACTGACTTCTATAACTTCTTTTCTATGTGCTATAACCAGGAAGTTCAAGTGGAGAGACCAGAAAGTGCCCTGCTGGCAGTGCTGCTTGCTTGTTACGTGATGGTCTGGCATATGATGTTGGCCGTCCAAAGGAGCAGCTGAAGCTTCAAGACAAAGACAGGTATGCAATTTCTGTGGTAATACTTCTGTGGGCACTTCAGTCATCTGTCTTGGAAACAGTGCTCTTGGTAACAAATGAGTCTCCTAAAACATAACATTAATACCTCTTCAGTGTTGAAGCATTAGCAGAAAACTATTAAAAATACTGTCAGAGCAGTCTATACTGTGGTACTGCCATGACAGATCAAATTTTCTCCTTTGTTGTGAGAGACTCCATTTTACAGAGTTGCAGAACTCTTAGTGGCAAGGGGTGATTAGTGCTCTTGGCCCACAGAGGGAGTAAGATTTGGTACTGTCTGAGGGCCCACAGGCTAAATGCATTTGGCTCTTTGGCATTCTACTCCCCAGGAGTACTTCAAAAATTGGGAATAGGACCAGATGTTGCCTTTCTGTGGTTTGGCTAATCTGAAGCCAGAATGTCACTGCTCTAGGAGATGTTGTCTTCTGCCTGTTAAACTGCATAGGATAATAATGCATAGCTGGGAAGTTGTGGTGATCGTCCTGTTCTCTCATCTAAGTTATCTTGCTATTTGTCTCCCTGTCAGATATTTACTATGTTTTAATCTGCGTCTCCTGCTTCACCTGATCTGATCCATTTGCCTTGCTTCTGTCAATTTGCTGATGAGTTTGTTTTGCTGTTAATTCTGGGGGCAGAATGGGAAGAGTTTATATGTAGAGAGGTGATAAAGTACAGGAATGTGGCAAAACCTGAATGGGTACTGCTTTCAAAAGTTGTAAGAGCATTTGCCACATCTGCTCTCCAGCAGTAGTTTTGAGAGCAAAACTGTGATTATCCTGTGTTCCTGTGATTATTAGCTAAATTCTTGCTACAATATGAGTCACAAGGCATTCAGCGTAGTCTTAAGTAGGGTACCAGAAGGTACTGTATTAATTTTGCTGGGACTATTTTAGTTTTTATTTTTAATTAACTCTTAAGATTAAAGGAATGAGGATCTCCCTAAAAGTTGCTGTCAGGAGCAGGGCTACATTGATACATTCTGTTGGAGCGTCTAGCAAAGATTGAGCATTTCAAGAATATCCTTCTTCTGTAGAGTGCGGTGTCTTAACTGTCTTTTTGGTTTGTTGTTTTCTATTTCTAGGCTTGTGTTGAGTTATGAGAGACAATACAAGCATGATGAAGAAAGGCCAAGCTTCTGCCTAGGCCACAATCCAGCAGTGACCATCACTTTTGTTTGCCCATCAAAGAGGGGAGAAGAGGTAACTTCAATGTTTTAGTTTGTGTTAACTGGTTGGTATTTAACTTTTGTTTTATTTTTTGTTTTTATTCAAACCTGAAGAGAGCATAAGTATTTCTGGCTTGTAGCTTATGAAGGGTGTGAGGTTCTACATGTACTCTTAAAGTCTTCTAGAACTTAAGAAATAACAAGAACCTGAGTAGAATTTCCCCAGGAGTGTGTGGTCTCTTGTATTGGTGAATTTGGTTGTCCCTTTACAGGTTCAAGGCTTATCTCTAAGCATAGGATGAATTTAGTAGAGTTAATCCTGGGCACATTGGCGCAGAGCTTTGCTTGCTAATGAGCACGCTTCCTCTTCAGTCAGGCTGGACGTGCTTATAGCTGTTGCCTGTTACTTGGTTTCTTTATTAATCTGTTCTTCCTCAGGGTAAAAAAAAAAAGTCGCTAGTAAGTGTCATTGCATGGCAAGAGTCTGTCACTTAATAAGCAGGCTCATGAATTCTTTTTAACTTTAAGTAAAAATCTGTAGTGTTCAGCAACAACTCAGTTTATGCAGGACACTGTTTTAGCCTAACTTGAATGCAGTGTGACAGTCACTTCAAAGTAATGCTGGATAATTTCAGCAACCTACACTCCTTGAACTGGGCAATTGCTAATGCTCTGCCGTTTCATATAGTGATGGTTTTTGTTGCAGATGAGTGAAGAGGGAGCTCTTGTCTGGCTAATTTTTGGTTTAATGCTTAGTCCCTCGTATGACCTAGATAGATACTGTGCTTCACTCTTGTTGCTGCAGAAATAAACTCGGCTCTTGTCTACTGTCACCTTGTAGTACCTTGCTATAGCTATGCACTCTTGTAGGATGAGTGGTATTACTGATGATACTTGTACCGGTAACTTACCTCATACCTGTGTAGCTGCCAGTTGTTCCAGTAGATGGTGGAAATACAGATTTATGAAACAATTTGAATTTCTAGTGTTTCACTTTAAAGTGAAGAAAACCAAGACTACTGCTTCTCCCAGATGTGCAAAAATTTATCACCACAGAAGCTCATCTGGTAGAATTGTTGGCTAAAGAGTTCTCAAATATCTATATTTTGATTTGGACCAAGGGAATCAAAGTTGCTAAAACACCAGTGTCTAAAAGTCTGCTTTGCCTTCAGAGGGCATTTGACCTCTTATTTCCTGCATTGAGGACTTCTCTGAGGCAAACACAATCCAAGCTTAGGCCATTTGGGCTCACATCTTTGCTTTTTCCAACACATTAAGGAAAAGTACTTTTAAAAGCACTATTACTTTTGCTGTCCTTCTCCTAATGTCTGATGCTTTACTTCTGCTTAGACTTGTAATAGTTTGCCACATCATTTATAAGACCTGTTTTATTTCTTCCCAACACCTATTTCTGAGAGGCCAGAAACACTGTTTGCACATCTTAAGTAATTTAGAGGTGAAGTAGTTGTTACTGACCTTAGAGGAATGTGATACTGTTGTTTTAAAGATTATATTTCAAGTAAGTCTACTTATAATTTAATTTCTGTTCACTTATATTTTAGAGTGCAGGTCCCAAACTTACAGCAAAAACAAACTGCCGGTATGAAATTGAGTGGGTTACTGAGTATGCCTGTCACAGGGATTACCTGGAGAGTAAGACCTGTATTCTGACTAATGAGCAACATGATATCTCCATTGATTTAAGTCCACTTAATCAATTTTCAGGTAAGCTCAGTATTTTTCTCTTATTTTTGTGGTTTTTAATAGCCAGTTTTGCATTTCCTTATTTAGGGACAGAAAAAATGTCCTGTGTTGATATTTGGAGTTTCATGTCTGTCCTGATGTGTGTTAAAACTTTTTTTTTTTAAAATTCATTCAGAATATGTCACACCATATTCAGCCAAAGATGACAAAGAAGAGTATTACTATTACTTGAATGTATGTGGGAAAACCACTGCAGGTAACTGCAAGGACAGTACAGGATACATTTCATCTTGCCAAGTAAAACTTTCAAATAACCAGCAAAAAGTGGCAGGAAGATTTGCGAACCAAACCCTAAGGTGTGTAAATGCTTTTCAGCCCTGCTAACTGGTCTGATTGGTCTGTTTCCTGCTTTGATGCTTTCTTACTTGTTACGTAATCAACAATTGATACAAAATGCAAGCATTTTTGGTCTTTTTTTTTTGTCAGAAAAACTGTCACAGTATAACAGGATAGCATTAGCAAACAGAGGAGCCAGTGAGGTTGGCAGAGGCCATTGACTGGACAGGAAGACTTCCACTTTGTTGTCCTAATTGCAGATTTTGGTGCACTGCCTGTTGCCCTTCTTTTTACATGTTTTACCTGTAAAGCAGTATCAGAAGCTGATTCCCAAGTGGCATATAGGGATAATAGTTTGCATGAGATTGTAAAGCAGAGATTAATTCATGTGGATATGAATTAATTTTGTCTGTAACAGGTCATTGCAGTGATCTTCCAGGAAGTATGACTTCCTCCTTGTGCAGAAACAGCCTCACAATAAACTAGTGGGAATAGATATCCCTCCATACCTAGGGGAGCTTTAAAGCATTATTTAATTTCTATAGAAATTAATGAAAATTGATCAGAAAAATCAGTGGATGCAAGTCTTCTTTGCTGTAGAAATGTCATTATTGATTTTGAACTAGCATTTGTTTTCCCTTGGAGTGAGACAATAAATGAACAAGAATGTGACTTCTGTTATGTGAAGAACACTGTGTGATTGTCTGACCCCACATTTCTATCTAAAACTGATTTCTTACTCAGGTACTCTGATGGGGATCTCACTTTAATTTATCCGAATGGGGATGCATGTAGTTCCGGCTTTCAGAGAATGACCGTCATAAACTTCGAGTGCAATGAAACAGCAGGTGAGTTTAACAAGCTCTGACAGCTCTGCTCAGGATTTGACTCCAGTGCTTGCTAGTAGACCTTATGCTCAAATGAATGCTTGCTTTGAGCCACAACTAACACAAGAAATAAATATTGTTACATTAAGCAGTAGTTTCGATAGCTGGCAGGATGTGCTGTGTAGTAGCACTGCTAGTTTAAATTTACACTAATGGTTGAGAAGATGGAAGTATAAAAGAGCCTTTTTTTCTTAGCCAATGGTAAAAAACTAGAAATTCAAGTCCTCTGTAGCAAAAGGACTTCTTGCCTTCCTTGCTAGTTGCTAGTCCTCAAGTCTCCTTGCTTTTTTCCCCTTCCCTCACTAGAAACCTCATATGTGTTCATCTGTTTTTCATGTTAAGGTAATGATGGTAGAGGAACTCCAGTATTCACTGGTGAAGTTGACTGCACCTATTTTTTTACTTGGGATACAAAATACGCCTGTGTTAAAGAGAAAAAAGATCTCCTTTGCAGAGTTACTGATAAGAGAAAACACTATGACTTGTCACCTCTTATCCGCAGTTCAGGTATGGCAATAAAAACTGGCTTTCAGTTACTTCTACAGTCCTGAGTTTACATGCCACCTCCAGTGCCATTCTTTAGCTGAGTATTAGTCAGCTTTTGTTGTTCTTAGTGAATTTCTGAGATGCTGGTGTTTGCTTCCCTCGTTCCAAAAAGACTGAGACCCTCAGTCACCATGTCTGTGACTGCCTTGGTTGCTGCCATCGTAAGTGGTTTTCAGTCACAGAATCACAGTTTGTGTTGGAAGGGGCCGTTGAAGATCATTTAGCCTGACTCCTCTGTCGTGGGGAGGCACAGCTTCCACTAGACCAGTTTGCTCAAAGCCTTGTCCAGCCTGGCCTTGACCACTTCCAGGGAGGGGGCATCCACCATCTCTCTGGGCAGCCTGAGCAAGTCGGGAGTCACCATGGCTCAGCAGCTTCCACCCAGTGGCTTGTACAAAGGAGACACCTTTGGACCTATCCAAAAATGGCAGGATTTGGAAGCTGTGGCTTCAGGGGACAGATGCAGGTGGTAATCTCAGCTGGTGGGGGAATGGAGCTGAAATCAGAACTTCTGTGTGCTGGGGCATACTCTGAAGGAGAGGTTATGACACAATTGTGGTGTACCCTATAATAAGAGGTATTTTGGCATGGAGATGCTGAAACCATTTAGCCAGATGACTTGTTCTTAACAATGCTCTATATTTCAGAGTCAGCCCAGAACTGGGAAGCTGTGGACAGTAGCTTTTCTGAGGTAGGAAGGAAACATTACTACATCAATGTCTGCCATAAGGTGTTGAAGAGAGGAGGAGCTTTCAGCTGTTCAGATGGTGCTGCTGTTTGCTCTGTAGGTGAGTCAGGGGTTTTTGTTGGTGGTGTTTTTGGAGTTTTTTTGGTTCACTGTTTTTTTAAGCCTCTGAAGGCTTGGCACTTCCTGTGCAAATGCGGTCGGTTTTTCTGAGTGCCTTCATTTATCTCAGGAAATAGAAGTTAGGAGCACATTTCTTTTGTGATCTCAGAGATGCTTGAAGAAAGAATGCACATATTTTTCTAACTAAAGAACCATAGGCTTTGCAGCATGGTTTGGCAAGGTAAAATAAAGCTCCTAATGATGTTTTCTCATTACCTAGACAAGTGGAAAGTCTTAGTATCTAACAGAAACTTCACTTCTTTTCAGAGAAACAAAAGTTCTGTATTTACTGTTTTTACAGATAAGCAAAACAACAGTAAGAATCTTGGAACATTTGTATCTTCTCCAAAAAAGGTTGGAGAAAATATTCAACTTATCTATTCAAATGGTGATAGCTGTCCTTCTAAAGAAAAAGAGAAAATCCAAACAGTCATCACTCTAATATGCAGACCAGGTGAGAATACCCACACCCTGTTAATTGATCCAGTTAAAAACTGAAGGTTATGTAATAAGCCCAGATGAGAGTGCTGAATATTAGCATATGCTTTTGTCTTCTATCTCGCAAAAGCTTGAAGCATCAGGGTTTACTAGCATGATGGCAATGTAATTGCAGATATTTAGTTCTGTTTACCTTTTATGCAAGTACTCTTTAAAAACTCTTGAAATAAGATGCTTCTGAACATGATTAAAGTATACCTAAGTGTTTAGAACTCCACAAATATCTGGAAGCGATACAAATATCTGGAAGCACTTTCTCTAGATTGTCTTGATGGGAAAGAGTAGTTCTGAACTGAGATAAAATACTTTAGCCTTCTTTTCCAATAAATATTGTTTGTATCTAAACTGCTGGCAGTTTGTGAAAGGCAGAAACATTTGCAGAAGTTCATGTTGATTATAATAGCCTGCTAATTAACTATCTCCCAGGAAAACAGAAAACCTGTGTTCCTCTACCTCAGCCTGAGGAACTTGGAACTTTCGAGTGTGCTGTCTGTTAGGATCAGATTATGCACTATTTGCTAATACAGCTATTGCTTTGTGGTAAAACACCAGTTTTGTATATCAAACTAGACATTTTTTCAAATATTGTGATAGTTCTCAGGAGCAGATTAAGCCCTGCGCCTTTACTTCTGGGGTAAACTTTTAGTTTTGGGGAGGAGGATGCAAAGACTGTGAAAAATATTTTTGGTTCCATTTTCAAAGAGGAAGTACTGTAACAGTTACATTGGCTTTTGAGGAGAAATTAGTTTTTTTAGGTGTAGATTCCTAGTTCCTGTTGGCAGCCTGGCTGTCTGTATGTGTAATGTGTTGCCCTTGTGATACCAGGTGATCTAGAAAGTGCTCCAATCTTGATGGCAGAGCGTGAGTGTTCATATGCATTTGAGTGGTATACTGCTGCTGCCTGTGTCCTGTCTAAAACTGAAGGAGATGACTGTCAGGTGTCTGATCCACAGGCAGGTATGTATTTCTGTTCAGCAAATCAAAAGGTTATTAGGGATACAACTTATCCCACATGTAAGTCCTTATGATACCCAAGAGCAAAGTGAGTTCAGCCTAATGCTAAGTACCCACAGTTTTAAGTATGTGCATATGGAAGATCAGAACAGCATGAGCTTAATACTCCCTTAGTGAATGTAGTAAAATGATGTAATGTGTATTTTACTGAAGTAGATCTCTCGGTATAAGAAACCATGCTTTTACTTTGTCCACTTTGTTTCTGGAACAGCAATTACATAGACTGAGACTTATTCAAGGGGAGGTGAGCTAGCTATGTGATTGAATCAAAACCTGTGGGAGAGATCAGGACAAAATCAAACTGATACAGTTTATTCCTTTCTGATTAGGCTTCTCTTTTGATTTGTCACCTCTGGCCAAGGCAAAAAGTTTCTATACAATTACTACTAAGGAGTACTTGTTTTACATAAGTGTCTGTGGTAGTCTGCCTGATGATCGGTGTCACACAAAATCGGCAGCGTGCCAAGTAGCGCGGAGGTGAGTAACTCATTCTGTTGTCTGTAAGGGAAGATCTCTTGTTGCATGATGTGTTGTTGTCAGTGTGCAACAATGAACAATTTGCATGTAATTACTGGGCTACCTCTAATAGATCAGGTAATTAGCATATAATTTGCAGTAATTACATTGCCAGCTGTTTCAAGCCAAATGCACATATATGTAGTCTTGCTTAGAGCTAACTTGTGAGATGGAATGTGCCCATTGCTCTCCCTTTTGTTATCTTTAGGGACTGTAAACTCCAGATTTACTGCTACAGCTGTATTAAGGCAACCTATAATCCAGAGATTGAGGGTCAGCTCTATTCCAAGAGCTGGCCTAAAGAATGTGAGCTTGCTGCACTTGGGATGAGCAGGGGCTCCCTTAGGTAGAGGTGAAGCCCAGAGCTTGGATGTCGTACCATATGGCCTCAGGTTGTGCCAGTGGATGTTTAGATTAGATAGTAGGAAAAGTTTCTTCATGCAAGGGGTTGTCAGGCATTGAAGCAGGCTGCCCAAGGAAGTGGTGGAACTGCCATGCTTGGAAGTGTTCAAAAAAAATGTGTGGATATGGACTTGAGGACATGGTTCAGTGGTAAAGATTTGGTGGTGGTGCTAACTTGATAGTTGGGCCTACCAGATCAAGTCTTTGTCCTTAACAATTTTATGATCTCCCTTGCTAAATGGGCTGTTGCAGGCATGGTCCCAGTGTGTACTGCTACTCTGACAGCATTACTGCTTTTGCCTCCTACAAACTATGTCTGAGGTAGTATCTCTGCATTTCAGGTTCCAGGTCAGCCTGCTGCCAGAGATGGGGTGCAGTGCAAACACTTGCAGCAGTACTTGGCTCTGAGTTATTCTTCAGCCAAGGACATTCACTGCAGACCCTAGAAATGTTCTACAGAGGAAGATGATCAAGCTAGGTCTGATAGAGTTGATGTTAAGTCAGTGAAGAAACACTCCAGAACCCAAGCTGATACCTAGCAGTGAACTGTTGTGCAGTGCTAGGTCTTCATTGTGCATATGTAATCGGATGAGGCCAGTTTGACCCCAAGATGAGGGTGTTTGCAGTTTGACTTCTTTGGAGAATGAGAACTTGATGGTATTGTCACTCTTTTAGACATGGGAATATTAAAGTTTTCTAGATATCTTAGCAAATGTAACTTCCTTTGCTTTTCCAAGGAGGGCATCTGTTCGTGTTTTAAGTTTCCTTTTGGCAGCATTTTTTTTATCCCAACTCACTGAGGTGTAGTCAACCTTATTTAATTATTTTGTCTTACTATGGTGTCTTGTATAAACTTATATGGTTTCTATTTGTAAGATTTCTCTTAGAGACAAGTTTGCATTCTGTTCACTCTCAAAACTCACTTTTTCTTTTCTAGTGATGATCAGTCTTGGAGTCTTGGACTGCCCAGTTCCAAACTTTCCTATTATGATGGCCTGATTCAGTTGATCTACAAAAATGGTGCAGCATACAACGATGAGAATAAAACACAGCGCTCTACCCTCATAACTTTCCTGTGTGACCATGATTCTGGAATAGGTCAGCCTGAGTATCAGGTAAGAAGTTCTATATGAAGAAAGGAAGGATCTCCATCCTAAAATACTGACAACAGCTAATAGGTCAGTACAAGCAGAGTGTTAAGTGTGGAAATACCCAGTATCTGTAAAGCAGACTAAAATAAATAACTATTTCTCTTGGTATATTTCACTCATGTTGCAGCCATAAAACTTTCCTTGACCAGTGAACAGTAAGCTGTTTACCTGGATCCAGATTCTTACCTCACTCTCCTCTAGTCCCTGGGCTATGTAATTATTAGTGCTTTTGATTGTCTTGTATTTCTATCTGGGAAAAAACCAAACTGGCTGAGAAGTAACAGATGGTAGGACTGTGTACACAGCAGACAGTGGCTTAACAGCACCAGAGCAGGTTTTTTTGGCAAGAGCATTTTTGGTGACACAGGGATTGACAAGATCTGTAACAGGACAGACCAGCACAAATCAGTCTGAGAAGTACATCCCAAAACCAAGGGGAGATACCAAGCTTGGCATATAAAGCAGTAGCTGTGAGTCACAGAGCTGTCAGTGTGAAAAGTGTCTTACCTATTCTGCTCATTTGTAGAAAGAAGATAACTATACCTACAACTTCAGGTGGTACACTGAACATGCTTGTCCAGAAATTCCACTGGAATGTGTTGTGACAGATCGCAACACCATGGACCAATATGACTTGTCAAGGTAGGAAAGTGATACGTACACTGTAACTTAGCTATTCTAGTTTGGTGTTCTGGCTGATAGTTCTGGCTGAAGTTGGTTTCCTGTGTAGACAGCACCAGAAGCTTCACCTGTTGTCATGGTCTTGACTGCAAGTATGTTGAAATCCCTCTAGCATGTTGGTTTGCCTCCTAGGATGTAAACTGACTTTTTGGGATGGTTTTGCTTATAAAAACATACTACCTTGTTAACTGTGTTCTGTGTCCCAGGAGTATTCTTTCTAATTGTAGCACTTAAGAATGAAGGGGAGGTTAGTCAGGAATGCCTTAGGGTTGCTCTGTTTCTTGAGACTGAGAAAGCTGGAGAGAGTCTATGAAGCACGTGTCCTTAGAGCAGACCCTTCTCTTTCTGCTCAGATTAGCAAAATCTGAGAAGAGAGGTGAAAACTGGTATGCCATGGATAATTCAAGACCAAGTGAGCGCAAGAAGTACTACATAAACGTCTGTCGACCCCTGATTGCTGTCCCAGGATGTGACCGGCGAGCATCTGTCTGTCAGATGGAATATAATCATGTTTCTGTGAGTACCCTTTCCATCCCAGCTCAGAGCTGGTTTGCCATGTGAGTGAGATTAAGACAGCCATGTGAATTCTGACTCCTTGTGCAAAGGGATATTCTGTGTACCATAATGGTTGCATAACAGTAGCAAAATGGTAGCACTCCTGTCCACCTCTTCAAAGAACTACACAAAGCCTTAATTTTTACAAGTGTACCAATGTCATGTTTGACACTCATGATTTTTGCCCTGTGTTTCAGAGGCAGGCAAACTGCATCTCTTTTGTATAAATTGCTGGAGTCTCAGAGACTGCTAGGAATACACAATTCTTTAGGAACAGGCTGTCCTCCTGGATATTTTGTCATGCTTTTGGCTTGTTTTAGATTGAACTGTGGAAAAGATTTGTTTAAAGATTCTTTTTTGCATCCCTGCCCTCCCTAAGCTTGCTTTGGATCTGAAGAGTAGATTAGGCAGATGTTGCCAAGCAAATAAAAGAAGAAACAATGCTGGTGGTTGTTATGGGCTTCTGCTTCTGTATTGCCCTGAAGTATAACAATTTATCATGGAAGTGATAGCAGCTGACAGGCTGAATTGGCCCATTGCCCACTGCCTGACTTTATTGCTGCTCAGAGCTGTAGGGAAAGCTGAACTAGAGGCTCCCCAAGCTGTCCAAATTCCTTCTGTCAAACAGAGAGAACACCTTCCCCCCTTAAGGGGATGTGTTAGTGACTGAAGCCAGTCATTGCCAACACAGCACTTAAGAGAGAATTATTACTTACTCCCTGTGCTTGCAATAGGCTTTGTTGTGCAAGGCTGCTTACTGTACGTGTAGAGACACTTTAGGGCTTCATTACTTCACTGCTTGAGATAGTGGTTAAAAGGTGAGCACATTGGGTCAATCTAAAGAGTTGTTAAAAAAAAATTTCAAGGGCCGAAGTGTGTGGACAGCTGTTTTGGAGGTATATTCTTCAGTTTGTTGCTGCTATTGACTTAAAGTAGTTTCTTAAAACTAGGAAGCACCAGTTATGTTTAAGTGATAATGACTTCAGACTTTGGTAGTAGCACCTACTGTTCTTCTAGTGCTCGGTTTCTGTCAGTGATTTTTAGCCTTAGCTAAGCATGGCAGATCCCTAAAGTCAATTGAGAACATCTGGAGGCTTCCACATGTTTTAAAGAGCTTTACAATACATTCTACCTACTACAGAAGACATAGGCCTCCCTAAATTGCTATGCTATGTAGCCTGGGAGATGTAGACAGGTGTTTTGAGGTACTACAAGCACCTTATTTTACTAAAAATAAAAACAACAAAAATGAAACCATACGTGGTTGTGGAGGTTGTCTGTTAAATATGTGAAACTTGAATACAGAATAGGAAAGAAAAATGTAGTGGTATCTCTATACCTTTGTTATCTTCAAAGCTCTCAAACTGTGTACAAGAGTACTGTAGTAGGTATCTTCTTTTTGGTTGTATCTAATTTTTTAATAGTTGTTGACATGCTTTTCTTTATTTCTAGGCTTCTTATTCTGAAGTCACTTCTATTAGTAATCTTGGTGTTGCCAGCAAAGAACTAGTAATTGAAAGACCTGGACATGTTTCTCTAACGTATGCAAATGGCTCCGTGTGCATCAATGCTGATGGCAAGACAACTACTTATACCACCACCATCCACTTTGTCTGTTCCAGGGGCACTCTTGTAAGGACAAATGATCTTCCAGTTGTTATTTCATCATAGTAGGTTTCTTATCCTGTAACATGAAGCCACATGAAGATGTGTAGTGCATAGCAGATTCGTGGCAAGGGAGACTTCTTGATGGTTTAGAATTGAGATGTAAAAATGAAACTGATTTAGATGCTAGAGAAGCATGTGTCTGATTATTTTATCATAAACAAGAACTAGATAAAAACTAACAGCCTTGATGAACAATAGTGTTTCAGACTAGTCTAATTAGCTTGAAAAATACATGAGTACTTAAAACAGCAAACATTGTGGACACTCTTAAGAGGAAAAATATTGTAATGTGTATCCTCAGGCTCAGGTTCTTCATTCTCCATAGATTGTTGATTGTAGAATTCTTAAGTCTATAGAGATTTTGGGGCTACAACTCCACATACTGAAGATTAGATTGAGGGGATTGTTAGACTTAAGCTTGTGTAGACTTGTTCTTCCTGGTTTTGTGAATCTGCAGGTCTTGCTCTCCCCTTACCCATGTGATCTTTTGCCCAAGAGATGTGGTAAAAAATCTGTGACATGGAGCAGTTATGAGCTGGGTTGCTTTTGTCTGAAAACACTGACATGAAGTGTACATAATTAATATTCCTGTTACCCTGTTACCTTGTTACTTCATCTAACAAATTTCTGTTGCTTTACTTTTGCTTTTTTTTTTTTTTAAATTATGAACTATGTATTATACCCCAAAACTCCTCAAAGCTTAGACTGAGACAATATCTAGTTATACATGTCTAAATTAAATATTGACTTTAATCTGAGTATTTGGGTATCAGATTCAGTTCTTGACTAATGCTTGGTCAAATGGTAAATGTTTAACTAGACCAAGTTTTCAGTGATGACCTTCAAAATAGATCAGGGAGAGGGAAGTGGGGAATTGTGTGCCTTTGAAGTGAAGTCTTTTAGAAGAACCTGATAGTTTCTCATAATGGGGAATCTCAAACTTGACAAAGTGTTAGCTATTACACTTACTCTGGTCTTCCTCTGCAATCTGTTTCCAGAGTAGCAGCCCACGGTTTGTAGCTATTCTGGATTGTGTGGCCACTTTCTTATGGGAAACTGAGGCTGCTTGCCCAATCAAGGAAACAAAAGATGATTCTCAGGTGAGAAAGGAGAATGTAAATCATATTTGTAGTCTCAATGTACAGTGTTTTTTTCTAGCACTCTTGGTTGCTCTTGAAGAAAACTAACTAAAGTGAAGTCTCAAGTTGGTCACAATGTAGTCTTGTGATATTTTACTGCTTTATTTTTGAAGTATTTCTGAAATGTCTAACTTCTGACCAAAATATTCAGGTACTTTCTCTTGAGAATAGTTTACTCCCTCTTGTATGCTTCATTTAAAGTTGCATTCCCTTGCTATGTTGCTAATAAAACTGAGTTTATATGTATGGATATGTATTGTCCTTGTTTTCGGCAGATCATCAGATGAGACTTTGCTTTTTTCACACTAAAGCCTGAGACTAGCTCAGTTGCTTGGAGCATGTGCTAATAACACCATGGTTGAGGGTTTGATCCCCATACAATCCATACATTAAACAGTTGGATCCCTTCCAATGCAGAATATTCTGTGCAATCTACTCAGTTGCTTCTGCTTTACAGGTCTCAACATCAACAGTAGTGTGAAAACAGCCCTTAGTTAAAATTTCTTTGCTCTTCGCTAATATGATAGGTGCCATCTGTTAAATTCCACTTTGATATGTTGGTGTGGCTGATGTCAGTGGACAAAAAGAATTGAACAAATGTACAAAATAATTGAATGAAGCCACTGCCAGAGCTGTTATCTGGTGTTCTGGTATGCAGGATAGGAATATGTCTAAATCACTGCTTTGGCTCTTGAAATGAGTTAGAGGTAAAATCTAAACAGAAGAAATGCAGAAGAAGAAACTAACTTTGTTGTAATTTTTTTCCAGTCCTGCTCTGCGCGAGATCCAAACACTGGCTTTGTGTTCAACCTGCAGCCATTAGCTTCTGAGGAAGGTTATACGGTTACTGGCAATGGGAAAACGTTCTCAGTAAGGATTTTGACTGTACAACATCTTGTTTATGAGCACTGTTGTTGCACTTTTTTTCTTGCATAGTGATCTAGAGGAGCTTTCACTCAGTCCTCTTAGGAAGTGTGAGTTGGCAGGAAAGCACTGTGGTTGAGGGAAGGAATGAAAGATAACGTCATTTGTCTTAGATGGTCTTGAATGCATTAAACTTCTGGTTCTTGGAGAACATAAGGTAGCCACGCTTTTGAGGCTGCCTTTTTGAGGTGATTTTTCCCCTCATGGACTCTGTTGTGTACTACCAATTTATCTGCTGCTTCTGAAGAAATTGACAGGGAAAGCGTAGAAAAAGGGATTTAGTCTGTCCATGTCAATGTTTTTAATATAATCTGCATGTGTCGGTATTCCTAGGCTGTCATAGGTAATACCATAGTGGTATCTTTAGGCCAAGAATAAACATGCTGAACCACATTGTTTACTTCTAGTGGGGAGAATTTGTTGACCCTGTAATCTGAAGATTGAGGATACTCTTACTGTACTATGGGTGAATTGTAGTCTGTCATTTCTGCACTGCAAGACAACTGTGTTGTTTGAAATAGTTCTCTACAAGGGTTTTACTGTTTAGAAATGGGTATATGGACCTTGCTTTTCTGATGCAGTTAATACTGTGTGCATCTGTATGTTTTCAAAACTTCTAGCTAAACATTTGTGGACACTTGCCATATTGTGGTAAAATCAATGGCAAAACAGCTGCTGGGTGTGAAAGGGAAAATGTGACACCTCTGAGGCCACTGGAATTGGACAAAACCCTTTATCTATCCAGTGAAGGGTTTCTAACTCTTACCTACAGAGGCCCTCTTCGTGTGGAATCAGGTGAGTTCAGGAAATACACAGTGCATTGTAAAAACTTATTGTGAGTTGTCTTCATTCCTTCTTTTGTGTACTGAAGTCTATTTGGCTTGGTATTAATTACTTAAACAAGCTGGCCCATATGGAAATTTTAGGAAGTAATGAAGTTACACAGAATGGTAATGGCTCAGTAATACGTGTGCAAAAGTTCATTTCAAAGCTTTAGGAAAGTCACTCAATACACTGTAGAGTTTTCTCCTTAGCAGATGAAAAATACTGGTCCTTGCATGGAGAAATGGATAGTTAAATTGGCAAAACAAAATTAAGGTTCTTATTCTAAGTGAAGTAATAGCTTTTAGCTTCAGTTTCATGGATAATGCTCTGTAAAGTTGTTTCATATCTGAAAGGTCAGTTTTCAGTAAGCTTATACTCTCCTCTATGGATTTTTTTGAATTAGTGCTCTGACACTTCATGTGCACCTACTTCATGAATTTAAGTCTCTTTTGCAGGTAAAATGAATGAAAAAATGTGTATCTAGTTATTTGATATTAGATGCTCTCCAATACTGAAACTAAACTTTGTAGAAAGGAATATCACATCTTAACAACAAAAGATGGAAAACTGGGTTTTGGATTCGGGAACCTCAAATGCTTCAGCATGCTTAATTGCTGGGGTGCTATCTCTTATTTTCTCAGTTTTGACATTTTTGTACATAATATAGAACAGTGATTAAGCTCTTATGGATTTTACTTTGAGGTTCAACAATTTTTATAACACTGCTAAGCATTTTGCTGACAAATACTACTCCCTGACAAAATTCTGTCACTTCTTGAGGATTAAACAGAACTTAATATATAGTGCTTTGATAGGATCAGTACTATTTGTTCTGCAGTCACTACACTGAACTTCTTACAAACAAACAGAACCCCAAACCCAGAACTTTGTGTGATGTAATTTAAAAGCTGCTGTTACCACTGGTGGTGTTTTAAAAGGTTTCTGTTTCTTCATAGATGTGAAAGAACATAGGGAGCAGAGGTCAGTGAAGTTAATTATGTTCCCGAGATGTGTCAAGGCATTTTGGTTTCTTATTTGTAGAGGCAATAGTGGCTGCTAGCTCTCTGAAGAAGACTTGCATATTTACAGCTAAAACCCCATAAAGCAGCAAGGTAGTGTTATCCTTGAAGCAGTTATTAATAAGAAACTCTTAGAAAATTTTGAAGTCAAGTATTGACTTGAACTTAAATTCAAGTGTTCCAAACAGAACCATCAGTAGATAAATATTTGTTTTGTAGGAACATCAGACATGTTCAGAGTGACTTTCATTTGTAATGATTCATATCCTGGAGAGCTTAAGTTTGTGCGTGAGGAGATAAACAGTGTGCTGGACGTCCATGATACTTTTTTTGAGTTTCACACTGCTCTGGCTTGTGCTCCTGCTCCTGTAGATTGTCAAGTTACAGGTAAGTACCTGGAACTTAGGTGGGCTCTTTCCTATGTTGGAAGGATTAACTGAACAGCAAACTTCTGCTCAGTGGAGGGCTTTAAGAATACCTGTTGAGAAGACATTTGTAAGACTTAAAATCTTTGTAGAGGTTGTAGGGTGGGAGACGAGGTAAGTTATTTGAAGCAGGCTTAACTTACAAAAAGAGGGAAGGAAGCGAATTTAAAACATTGTGGTATACACAAGAAAGTTGATAATTACTTTGAAAACATTTAATCATTACTGTGACTGATGCTGCTTCAGCCCAACTCTAAAGAAAATGAGTGAATTTAGTATTGGCATCTGTAAAAATGCACCTGTGATTTGTGGAGAAGTTTACATTTGGGAAGTAACTGTCAAGGGAACTGTGTTCTGCATTTGGCATGGTGATGTTTTTGTGGCAAGAGTACATTCTCGTGATACATATTTAATGATTCTGAAAGTTATTTCAAATTGTGTATTTGTCAGTGAAACTGGTATCATTTAAAATCCAATCCTGCTGCAAGTATTAAGTTCTCTCAGCTTATTGCGTTTCTTCCAGATGCTGCTGGCAATGAGTATGACTTAAGTGACTTGAGCAAAGATGGTGAGCCATGGGTTGCTATAGACACTTCAAAGGAAGCAAAAAGGCGAACGTTTTTCTTGAATGTCTGCAAGCCCTTGCCCTACGTGACTGGATGTCCTGGTAAGCCAAGTGTCTTCTTACCTTGTGTCTTCTGATGCAAGACCTTATAGTCCGAGGGATGTCCCTGGGTATTTCAGTAAGATTTATTGACTCCTGTCTGTTGAATCACAGAAATGGCATAGATCTGGGTGACATATGCGGGAGAATTAATAAACAGACTTCTGCAAGCTGAGAGCAGTGTTAATGCTTATCAAGACTCTTGCACTGAGATGCATTTGGGAAAATTGCATTGAGGGCAGTATTTGCCAGGATCTCTGAGCTTATTATTATTTTTTAAAGAAGATAGGATATAAAGGGTCATAGTTTAATCCCAGCCAGCAGTCAGCCTCATGCAGCTGCTTGCTGATTTCCCCACCAGCAGGATCGGGGTGAAAATCAGAAGGGTGAAGGTGAGAATTTGTGGTTTCAGGTAAAGACAATTTAATGGGCAAAGCATAAGCTGGGCATACAAACCAAGCAAAACAAGGCATTAATTCCCTGCTTCTCATGGGTAGGCAGGTGTTCAGCTATCTCCAGGAGGGCAGGGCTGCATCACATGTAACAGTGACTTGGGAATACAAACACCATCATTCCAAATGTCCCTCCTTCCTCCTCCTTCCCCCCAGTTTATATACTGAGCATGATGTCATATGGTCTGGAATATCCCTTTGATCAGTTTGGGTCACCTGCCCCTGCTATGTCTCCTCCCAGCCTCCTGTTCACCCCCGACTTCCCTTGCCGTGTGGTAGTAGGAAAAGCAGAAAAGGCCTTGGCTCTGTGTAAGCCCTGCTCAGCAATAAGAAAATATCTCTATATTATCAACCCTGTGTTCAGCACAAATCCAAAACACAGCCTCATACTCACCACTGGGAAGAAAATTAACTCTACCCAGCTGAAACTAGTACAGAAAGTCAAATGTTGTTGAAGCCTCCTGGCTGAATTAAGCCAGAATGAGAAGCTTTTGCCATGTCTTACTCCATTTCTAGCCAGTTTAATGTATTTAACTGTACTGTAGTCTTTTATGAGTCTGGGGAATCAGGTAATCAGTGCAGTTTGAAATATTTCAGTATGCAGGAGTAACTTGCTATATTCCTCAAAGGTTTTACCTACACAGTGTCTCTAACTGTATTGATGAATATGTGTCTTGTGTTCTGCTTCAGGAGTTTGAGACAGTTTACTTCAAAGCTCTCTTAAAGCTACCCTGTTATATTATTTTACAATCAATTTAACACTAGTTGTCAAAGCTTTGAACTAAAACGCAGTTCTTTTCCTGTAGGTGGTGCCATAGGATCTTGTGTGAAATACGCTGATAAAAGCAAGAACCTTGGAGTCATTCAGATAAACCCCCAGGCTGCTACTGATGGGTCGTTAAGCATTATCTACTTGAATGGTGACACATGCAAAGATAATCAGCGTTATTCTACACGTATAATCTTCCAGTGTGATCAAACAACGGTAATTTTCTCTTCCACTTGCTGTTAATGAGGATTTTAGTGCTTGTACCAAAACAAACCATGTTTATTCCTCTCAAAATGGAGAGACTGGTTCTAAAAAGTGAAATCTTACATATTGGGTTTTTCCTTGTCTCTTCTTGAAAAAGCTGTCTGTTTTACTGAACCTGTAGAACACAATTGTGAACTATCATGGAATCCTGTGAGCCACCAAAAGCAGCTCTTTGCTGAACATGAATACTGCAATTTAATAGTGGAGACTTTAAATTGTGCAACTGCAGTAAAAAAAAAAGGCCATGTGTGTATATTTTGAGACTTGCAGTATAATTATTAGTAAGCCTCCTTCATATGGCCCTTTTCTGTAGGGATCACCAGTGTTGGAGCAAGAGAATGACTGTGAGTTTGTCTTTGTTTGGAGGACTTTGGCAGCATGTCCTGTTCACAAAGCAGAAGGTAAGTAGTTATTTGAGATTTAAAGTATCAGCCAAACTGTCCAAGTAATAAATACTTGAATGAAACTATGTTGGCTTCTTGCCCTGTGAATTTTTATGTAAAAAGTGTTGGCTTGTGGAGGAATGTCTATTCTGAGCTTTAAGCTAACTACAAATCCTGTCTAATGTTAAAAGTACAAGTTAGGGTGACAGGCAGATGTACTTGCCTATCTAGGGAAAGAAGATGTAGTACAATACTTTATCAAAACAGCATTATTGCTCTCATTTTAAGTCAGACTTGCTAGTAAATATTAAGGCATCAGGTTTCATGAGAACAGAGATTCTGTGCTGCCCTGTCGCTCACTGAAGACTGGAAGCAAGACTAAACTTGACCCTAGTTAGACAATGGGGGAGAGTCTCGTTTGTATTTGACTCCAGGATGTGCAACAAGAAATCACAAGTTCTAGTTCTGGTACTTGATTGTCTCTTAGATGGAAGACTGAGTGTGTAGGCATCTTCTCTGCCTTTGCAGGCTTTGTTTTGCAGCTTGTAGATAATTCCTTATAAAATATCTGGACTTCCTGTAAAGGATCTATCACAGCTATCCTAGTCATTATTGAAACTGCTGATGACCTGACGTGGCATGAGGAATGTTCACAAACTGCTGCTCTGTAGCACATAGTTACTGTGCAGGACACTGGTGACTGAGCTGTGGTTTTGAAGGAAGAAAACTGATGTCTTTAGCTGGGTACCAACATGTGTGATCAAGAAGAGTGTAATGTTCGAGTGATACAATCTGATGATTTTTTAAAAAATTTCAGAATATTGAGCAAAGGGTCACTTTGAGGACTTGAGCAACAGCAAAGTCACTGACATATATCAGCTAATGAGACTCTTGAAACTAGAATTTTCCTAAATCTTCTTTTATATGCATCTTTGTAGATTTGTAAGCTGGAATAAATATTTCCTATGGCTGATTATTTTCTTAACACAGCCAACTTCAGAGCTGTTAAAAGAAGATACAAGACTGACATCTAGGACACCTTTTGCTTTGATCTTGTGACCTTGCTGTTCTTTCCAGATAATTAAGCAAGTTCTGGACTTAGTGTCTCTGAGTTTGTACTTAATCTTCAGCACAGCTGAAGGAAGAACTTGAGACCACTCTGAGGCAGTTTTTGAACTACAGTGTGACTTTCACATCTTGCTTTAGTGGCAGTTATAAAATAAATGTGCCATTTATACTAAGATGGTTCTTCAGTGTCACTGCCTTGAGGTAGCTACTCATTTTTGTGGCCTTATTTGTGCAGTAAGCCATAATTGTCCCCAGTGTATTTGGCAAGGCTAATAGATCTTAAGTTGTTTTTTAAATTGTTAACTTCCTTTTAAAGGAAAAGATTGCCAGGTGAAAGATCCAAGGTATGGTCACGTTTTTAACCTGAAGCCGCTTTCTGGTAAAAACATCAAAGTGAGTACAGATGAGTATGACTACTACTTCAGTGTTTGTGGAGAAATAACAGAACCTTGCAGAACAAAGGGTCGCGGTGTTGCATCGTGTCAAGTAAAGAAGATGGACCCTACTTTTGAAAAAGTAGCAGGTACTGCACTTACCTAAACAAACCTAAGGAGTGGGAAGATTAACCAGGGTGAAGAAGGGTTCTTGCTAATCTAGTATGTCTAATGAGATAGAACACCTCACTGCTTTTGCTCAATGTGCAGATAAAATGTCATATGTGTAGTTACCTTGACACTCAATTATGAACTAGTTCAGCCTTACTGTGCTGGAGTAGTAGTCCCTCAATAACTGGATTGCAAATTTTAGAGGAAGGTTGAGGTCTGTCTATTCTTTAATTGTGCATTTTATTGCTGTTTATGTGAGCCTGTCAGAAGCATTACTGCAGTTGTGTGTTTACTGTAGCTGTTGACTTCTCTCAACTCTTTGCTTCTAGGCTTACGTACAGACAAACTGACTTTCAAAAATGGTCTAATCATGATTAATTACACCAGTGGGGAGAAATGTCATAAAATATATGAACGATCAACTGCTATATTATTCTATTGTGACAAGACTTCATCTGAGGTTAGTTTCAAAACTGTGCTTCCTGTACATACTGTCTTCCAGAATTACTCTTTTTTAACGTATGGAAGGTTAGGGTGAAGAACGTGAACATGCTTGATCATTTGCAGATTAGACAAGTGATTCATAGGTCCTGTGAGGGGAAAAAAGATGAAGAATGTTTTGAATCTCCTGTTTATGGATGGTACCTTTATCATTGTCCAGGAAGATCAGTGCATATTGTTCCTTTAAGGGATGTCTATTATTACCAGAGCTCTTGGAGAAGTTGGGAAGGGATGTTCTTCCATAAATAACAGCTGTTTCTTTGTAAGAAATAAAAGGTAGAAGGTTGAATGTGCAGGAAAGCAGTTATTACATGGCCAGACTAAAATAAGCTGGTTACTTGCTTTTGGCATCTGATTTGTGCTTCCCTTGCTGTTCTTAATCAATTGTGTATAGAATTACTTTTCTCTTCTTATTTCCTGGAGAGGCAGCAATTACTAATCGCTGTCCTTTTATCAGAAGTGTGCATGTGGATAAACTCAGATTTGGGAGAAGCCATGCTTAGCTGGTCAGAGGAATAGTGTGGCTCTAAGACAATATGTGTGTTCTTGGATTTTCCTGAAGCATGACTGAGGCATTTCATTGTTTCCATGTGTCAAAATAAGAAAGCAAATTAATTTCTTATTGTGTTCTTTCAGCCTGTATTTTTGAAGGAAACTCCAGACTGCACCTACATGTTTGAATGGCATACTCAGTATGCTTGCCCACCTGTTAAATCTACTGAGTGCTCCTACAAGTAAGTTGTTTTCACAAAATTAAAATGGAACTGTATGTTGAGAGAGACAAATACAGCCTTCTTGCAATTCAGTGCAACCCTGCCCCTTTAGCTATGTCCAGCTAATGTAGCATTCAGTGCCAATGCCTAGTATTTTAAATAACTTTTGCAATTTGTGCTTCTGAAAACTAATTTAATTGGGAAAAAACCCACAACTTTGAGATTCTTCTGGGGAATAATAAAAGGGAGCTGTTTGATATGTATTTATTGGTGGTTGAATGCTGAGTATGTTAGGTCATTGCAATTGTCTAGTTATTTAACAACAGCTAATTTAAATAAGGCTACAACTGTCTGTTTGGAATTTCCACCAAACAGTGCTTCAGGAAAAATGTCATTTATATCAGTCACAATCAAGTATTAGCTCATTAAGATTGGAGGTGGGGTCAGATGTGGCTAATATTTGGCCCAGAATTTGGACATCTGGCCTCATTATAGGTCTCTACCCTAAGGTAAAACAGTGGACTGTAACTGTGTGTGTGCTTGCCGTGCACTGAAAGCCAACATGCCTGAGTTAAAAGTTGGAATTACTCTTGCATTGGCTGAGAGCTGTGTGCATGTGGACAGTTTCTGTGGGGATAGTTGGGACAGTGATATTATCCCTCTACTGAATTTGAAGTTTCTGGGGAGCACTGCATCTGATGCAGATTTCTTTTCCAGTGCAATACTCTGCTTAGAGTTATCAGGTTGAAATTACTGTAATAACTTAAGAACTGCAACTTTAAAGTGCTGAATTATTTTACATGCCTTTAATCTTTTGTCCAGGGATGACGAAGGAAATTTCTATGACTTTTCGTCCCTGACACGACACAGAGAGAACTGGGAGGCCATTGCTATATCTGCTACTACCCAGAAGTACTACATTAATGTCTGCAGGCCCTTAGTACCCTATAGTGCTACACGTAAGTGCAAAGTACAAATATATTCTTCCTGCAGCTAGGGAAGGCAAGTGGTAGGACAGTACTGCTGGTGGCTGTTCTGAGTGAAATAAATCACAAAGCAAAGTATGCGGAGACAGTGGTATGATTTTAGTACCAGAGGGAAAGGTAGATTGTGAGCCTGATTTCCATCTGTTTAGTGGGTGAGATTCACTAGCAGCTCTTCTCTTGATAGCTTTGGCACCCTCGCTCTTCAGTCCTTATCCAAAGTTTTCTATAGCTCTTAAAGATTAAAATCATCAGTTCAGAATTTTCCTATGGCATCTTCTGACTGACTGTGTTTTGTGCAGTGCAAGGCCAGACTGTAGCCTTCCACTCTGTAGTAGTCTACTTCCCCTGTGGTAGCTGCCACTAGTTTTTGCATTATCTTAAGTGAAGTGAGACAATTGCTGCTAGTTGTGTTTTTTGTGGAAAATGCACCGCAGTGAGTATGGTTTGGACTGTGGCTTGGAGACGGATCAGCGTGATATACCTGAAAGTAGAGTAGTGGACTTTTATTCCAGGCAAGTACACCTTACTAACATTTGGAGTAATAATGCAGTTTTTGTTTATCTGTATAGGTTCCTGCCCTTCTGATGCTGCTGCCTCCCTTGTTGAGGGTACAAAATGTACCAGTCTTGGGGAAGTGGCTGATGGTCCTCGTTGGGAAAATGTCACTTTTATCCTGAAATACATTAATGGAGATCAGTGTCCAGATAAAACTCGGAAGAAAACAACAATATTGCGCCTCAAGTGTGATGAAAACAGAATTGTGAGTGGGTTCCTTCTGCTGGGATTTTATGTGTTCATGCGAGCAGAAGGATTTACAGTACATGAATTTTAGATGCTGAGCAATTTTAAGAGGTTGTTTTGTACACTCTTAGCACAAATTTTGTCATCTATAATAGGTTCAGATCATCTGCTTACATCTTGAAGATGAATGTAGTGCAGGTTGGGAAGTGTTTCAAGTAGTAAATAATGCTATTGGCTGTGTAGCTCTTAATTCTTGCACATCTGTATGCCTTGCCATTAAGTACTCTTCCATTTGATGAGATTTGAATTGCATTTTGGATTTTCTATTACCCTAGGCTACCTTTAGCTCTCCTGTCATTAATTTTATTTCTCCTGATAATGATTCTGTACTGTTGTGTATTTGAAATAATCACAGTTGAATACTCTGTCCTTGGATTAATTCAGTGGACTATGATCATCTGTCAGGTTTTAGGACTGGTGTTTGAACTGAGGTCAACTACAGGCTGTAGGGATAAACCTGTTAGCATGAAATCTTACATTATCACTCTACAAAGATGTTGCTCTCTCCACCTTTTTCTGTCTAGGAATCAAAGCCAGAACTTATAACTGCCATTGAAGATTGTGAATATACCTTCTTATGGTTTACTGCTGCTGCATGTCCTCTTAAAAGCAACGTGCAAAATGACTGTCGAGTAACCAATCCTTCAACAGGTAAGGAGGAGGCCTCAGGGTTTTGTATGTGGAAGAGGCTGCTGGAAGCAGCACTGCTGTGTTTGTGTTCTTGAGGGACTTTACTAATAAAGGGTAGTGTGACACATCCTCTGGATAGTGACTAACAAGCTTAGTGATGGTAGAAATCTCTTGTACTGCAATGTTGCTTGGAACAGAAATAGTTGGTAGTTCAAAACTAGTTTTTCCTCTGTTAATGTGAATAAGTAACTGTTTGCCTTTCTAAGCTAGCAGGCAAATAGGGTCTGGTTAACCTTCCTACTAAATTAAGTTATTGAAAGCTTATAATACAAAGAAATGTCTTGATTTTGAATCTGAATAAGAGATTAAATTGTTCCTTGATCTCTCTATAGGCCACCTCTTTGATCTGACATCTTTAAAGCGAGAATCTGGCTATACCATCAGTGATTCACACAACAGAATAATTGAGCTGAATGTTTGTGCTGAAGTTAAAAGTTCATGTGCTAATGGAGCTGGTAAGCAACTTATCCTCTCTGGTGCTGTAATCATTGACTATAGGATAACCAAAAGAAATGCTTATGCTCAAGTTTACTGTAAAATGTGATGTTTCACTGCAAATGCAGCAGGAGTGAAGGGAACAGCTGGTGGCTGTACTGACTAGGAGAAGAACTTAAACTGTCTTAGGAAATGAGGCCATATATTTTTACCCAACACCATTCACATGGGCTCACTTCAAGTCCCAGTCCCTTTAGTTTCTAATGAATGGACATGAGGGCAGGAATGTAGTTGTCTCTGCTGCATGTCTTCAGTGCTGTGAAAATGGAGACATTACAATCTTGCAGCTAGAGTGAACTTCATAGTGCTGCATTGCTGTAATACATCTGCACTGGGCTTTGTGTCTGCACTTTAAACCTTTGCCAATCCTCTTTGTAGCTTTCTGTTTTGTTCTGGGTGCTTCTGAAACATCAGTAGGAGTTAACTTTCTGCTTAGTTAACTGGTTTTATAGCTGCTTTATTGCAGGTTGAATGACTAGGTCTTCTGTCAAATTGAATATGAAATAATACTTAAGCATCTTAGATGCTAAAATAGGAGTATTTCTTGTAGTGAAAATTATTTTTGTGGAGTTAGAAGAAAATATTGGATTGATTTGGTTTTTAAGAGGCATCTTAATAAAATTATATGTAATCTCTCTGACATTTTGTGTTAATTGCTTGATTTCCAGAGAAGTGATAAGCAAACACTGCTCTGTGGCTGCTTCAGCATGTATAGGTGTAGTACGTTCAGCTGGTTGATGAAGCAATAAAGGCAATATTTGGTGCAGTTCAGCTCAGTTTGATGGCAACTCCAGATGCTGTGGCAAAGCCATTCTTTCTTAGGAAAATTAAAGTGATGCAAAAATCTTAAGATTCCTGCTGTTTATGTTGTATGGTGCAATTTTTGAGGGCAGTTGCATCAGACTTCATCTGTTTTCTTAATTTTTCTTTTTTCCATTTTAGCTGTCTGCATCACAAGTGGCCGAAAACCAGTTAATGCTGGAAAACAGAGTAAAACTTTAAGTTATAAAGATCAGGTGTTAAAGCTTGTGTATGAAGATGGAGATCCTTGCCCTGCAGACCCTGCACTGAAGCATAAAAGCTATTTTAGCTTTGTATGCAAGTCTGATGCTGGAGATGAGAGCCGGCCTGTTTTTGTGTCTTTTGATGAGCAGACGTGCACTAGTTACTTCTCTTGGCATACTTCCTTGGCTTGTGAAGAAGAGGTAAGAATTACTTCTGTAGAAAACACTCGTGGGGCTTAAAATTTTTGAGGGGGTTAGCTATAATAGCAGTATATTTTAAACTCCTTGAGGGAAAGGCTTCTTCTGATCCCTTTTTTCATAGTGACCCAAGCTATTTCAGTGTGATGATATCTAGACAGTGACAATGATTATTTGTCCTGAAATTTAATGGTAATTTTGTTACTTACTACTTTTCCAGTATCTAAAGAATAGATTTATCAAATTCCTCATAGGCTCTCAGTAGGTTTAGGCATGTTAAGAGTGTGTGAAATTGATTCAGAGGAAAGGTAGTACTCAAGCCATCAACTTGCAAAACGCTAACTTTACATTGTCGTAATGTTATAACCTGGCTAGTTATAGGTGGTGGTGCAGATGAGGAGAGGAAGGCATGGGGCCTGATCTGAGGAAGTCATAGTGACTATGTATGCTGGAGTATGTGTGCCAGAGCTTTGAATTGGTATTGTTCTGATAGGGACTCCATTCCATAAGAATGTTTAAATGATCAAGGTTTTTCATATGCTACTTGTAGGTGCTTAGTATCTATAGACAAGTAAAAATTATAACAAATGCTGCTTTACTTATATTTGAAACTTTTAAATGTAGCCATGCTTCTGGCCCCAAGAAGGATGTTTGTCAGTTAACCAAAGCAAGTGAAAATGTACCTTCTTGCAGGTGAAGTGCTCAGTAATGAATGACAGTTCCATTATTGACCTGTCTCCTCTGATCCATCGCACCGGGTATTATGAGGCATTTGTGGATGAAGATATTACAGATGTTTCTCCAGATTTCTACATCAACATTTGTGAGCCTCTCAATCCTATCAAAGATGTCAATTGCCCACCTGGAGCAGCTGTTTGCATGGTTCCTGTTAATGAATCACCAATAGTAAGTGCTATGCCAAGAATCACTGAAATGTGCATTTCCTTAATAGTCTAATATACTATCCCTGCCTAGAGACCCGATTTGAACCAGAGGCTTGACAGTGGATTAAAGAAAGGGAATGCAGAACCAAAATCTCCTCTGCAAAGTCCCCTTTTATTGCTTTTCCCTATGAAGAAGTGTTTTCCTATACTGAACCCCAGTGGACTTTTTTGGATGTCAGAAGATTGAATACAGTGATAAATCTAAAAAATTGCTACAGAGAATTTTTTTTTCACATAGTGGAAAAGAATTTTCGTGCCAAATATGGACATTGTCTAGGACATTCTGATTTCCATTCTGTGGCTTGATTGATCTTGTGATAGCCTGTTGTAACTGGAAGCAGTCTAGATGCTAGTATGCTTCAAAATGCACTTAGGTGATCTATGTAAGAACATGACAGCTACATTAGTAGCAAGCCTGTTACAGAGGATTGACTGACTTGTCTGTGTCATTACCTTGAGAGATCTATGTTTTGTCTTTTGAGGACTTGTTTACAAGCTCTAGAATATAGATGTAAAAAGCTGTGATTGTTTTCCACAAATTTCCGTAGTCATCTAAGGATCTTATCCCATTGTCAATGCTATTTTTAAGTGATGTGTTGGTAATTTGGTACATTGATGTAAAGAAGAATCTACCTCTAAGAGGCAGAAACTCCATGGCTTTTGTCAGACTCAGTGAAAAACTGTTTTGAGTTGCTCAACATGTGTTTTGTTAGGATTGAAATGTAATGGCTGTTCTTTGACTACAGAATGCAGTTTTTGGAAGGGCAGTAGTTGTGCTCCCATGTAAACGAAATAGATGAATCTGAATTGATCGGAATCTCTGGGCTTATCTGGAATCTAGGTGTATCCTGTAATTCTATTAATATATATTTTTGCTTTGTAGGATATTGGTCGTGTTACTGAACCTCCCCAGTTCAATAAGGCAGTAAATGAAGTTTATATCACTTACAACAGCACTACTCCTTGTCAGATAAACAATGGATTGAACTATACTTCTGTTATTGCATTTCACTGTGGCCAAGGAACTAGTCTGGTAAGACATCTATTAAACTTAGGTTGATATTGGAGTGTAATGGAAAGTGGGTAGTAACTGGTGTTAGCTTTGCTTGAAACTAAGTCATAGATTTGTTTCTATAATGTATGGATGGACTGTCTTCAAGAAGAAATATCTTATTTGTTCTCTTGACTGGCCAAAATTTTATTGAGTGCATGAACTTTAAGCTTGAGAATAACAGGTTCTGATGATTTCAATCATCAGATTCCACAGAAGTAATGTAATGATAACTTATTGCTGACATTAAACTTAATGCTGTATTGCACCTCGTTTAGATCCTAAAGTTTGTACTTGTACCTCAAGCTAACACAAGAACCAGTGTAACTGTACAGGTATTACTGTGAAGTGTTCCTCCTATGCTGTAACCTTTTCTATAATCACACACAACTTAAAAAATTTGCAATTGGCTACTTATATTTTTATTTTGTGTCAGCACCTGGGCACTAAATTGAATTTGCGTGGTGATGTGAATTTAACGCTTCTTGAATTTTTTTTAATGCCTCAACAAACTGTAGAGAAGCACTTAGATATGTTTGTCAAACTAGAGTGTTCTGAAGGTCATGAAACCATTTTCCATCAACGTAGGGCATGAACTGAAACTTGAGGTAGCTCTGAATATTACGCATACTAATACTTCAGTTTAAAACATGATAAAGTATACAGTATTCTCTCTAAACCTTAAATCAGTGAAGTCTCTTAACATTCTCTGTCATCAAGAAGCACAGCCCTCACGCTATTGCCGATTGCAACTGTGCTGAACATCAAAATCTCAACCCTAATTAAGAAGAAAGCTTGTGTACCTTTACTGTTTTGTTAAGCTAGGTAGAATGTACTTTCCTTGAAAGTTTCTTTGGTACTGGTTGCAATATGGTGTTTGTCCTACAACTGATGAAATCTAGCCATGGTAATAACAGAGATTAACTACTGGGGAAGGGGGAAAGTGCAGAGACAGCAACAAACTCTCCAAAAATTAAATGTGTCTTCCTGTGTTCTTTGGTAACAGGGTAAGCCAAAGATGATAAGGAAAATTGACTGCACATTTGTGTTTGAGTGGGAAACTCCACTTGTGTGTCCTGATAAAGTGAAAACTTTAGGCTGCTCTGTGATTGATGAACAGCTACACTATACGTTTAACCTGTCCAGCCTTTCTGGAAGATCATTTGAGGTAACGCCTTCTTAGGGTGTGACATTTATTTATCTTTTTATTTATAATTGCCTATTGCTATCAACATTTTAAAACTGCAGGAGGGGTTTCTTCTAAGCATTCTGTGTGAGAAAAGGCTGAATTGTGCTGTGGTCAGTATCGATACTTGTTTGGCTTTTGACAGAGGGAATAATATTAGAGAGTATAACATTTTAATATTTTTGAGAGTGAAGTTAATGGACACAGTGATGGGTAAGGAATGAAAAATCTTCACATTTGACAGGATCTTGGATGAGGAAGTAGGTCTGCTGAACATATTTTATCTGTGGTCCTGTGTGGTTTATCTACAGTTTTGTCATATTAAGGAAGGCCAGACTTGCAAAATTAGTTCTCTCTTCCTCCTGCATTATGCAAGTGCTGCCTGAGACTTGGTTTTATGAAGCGCTTGTGTGATTTTGTAAGTACTGACTCTAGACTTGCTGTGATGCTTCTGATTGTCTACACAGGTATTTTCTGGATCCAACAATTACCACATTGGTGTGTGCAGTGTAGGCTTGCCCCAGGGAAAATGCAGAGATGGGGCAGTGTGTCTGACATCTAAAAGTGGTGTGTCATCTTTTGGAAACATAAAGGAAATGAGACTGGACTATAGCCACCAGGATGAAACAGTCATCTTGCAATATACAGGAGGCGATCGGTGCCCTCCAGGTGAGACTGAAGCAGGCCCATTCTTTATGTTCAAAACTTGTCAGGATATTTTTCCCTTAAAATAGGAGGTTTTGTTGTGACAGTAAGCAACCTAGATTTTACATACACCAATAGAACCATGCAGTTTTGCTAAATCACAAGTGTCCTACTAATCTGCAACATCAACATGCATCTCCCTGGAAGAGACAGCACAACTTTTCTGTAGGGATGATTGTAGCTAATTGTATGCTACATCTGGTTTTTTAATTGGGTTTAAAATCAATGTTTCAGTATTTCTGTTGTTTGCCACTGACCTTTCTTCAGTACTGAAGTACAGGCTTTGAATAAGGTTCTGAATACGGATACACCTCTATTCTGCCATGTGTAGTTATGAGATTATACCTTTCCTTCTCAGTGACTGAAAAGGGAGAGCTCTGTGTGTTCCCCTTCAAGTACAAAGGGAAGACCTATAAGGAATGTATTACAGAAGGGAAGAATAAACCATGGTGTGCTACAACTGAAAACTACCAGGGAGATGAAAAGTGGGGATTCTGTAGTAGCAGTAAGTACTTCATATGCTTTATGTACAAGGATGTTAGCTAACACACAGATTTATCTGCACTAAAGTCCATACATGCCTGCAAGCCTCCTGTAAATTACACTTTTTTAACCTTTCCCCTTACAGCAACTGCAAGAAGGGAATCTACCATTATCTTTACATGTGACGAAAATGCTGGTGTTGGGAGCCCGTACCTTCTCAGTGAGACTCTTGGTTGTGCTGTGACATTTGAATGGAAGACTCAAGCTGTTTGTCCTCCCAAGAAAATGGAGTGCAAGTTTGTCCAAAAACACAGAACCTATGACTTGAGAATGCTCTCTTCCCTGACAGGATCATGGATCTTTTTCCACAATGGGAACTCGTGAGTAATGTGCAACTCACAGGGAGCAGCTTGATTATCAGTAAAGTTGTAATGTGACATAGAATTTCTGTTTAGTCCCTGCTCAGTGTCTTAAAACTGTCAGTGCTTAACACTTCATATAAATAAAAAAAAACTGAGACAAGAATCCATTTTATCTGAAGGGACTGAGTAATCATATTCTTCATTCTCACTCTTTCCCTCTATTGGTAACCCTTTTTAAGGGACAAATATGTCTAAACTAAAAGCTACTTAAAAACTTAATATTTCAACTGCTATCTTAAAAATGTAATTTTGTTGTTTAAATGCTTTTTTTTTTGTTTCTTAATCTTGTTGAAGCAAAGTCTTAATTACTTAGTTGCTTTCTTTTTACTCAAATGTATAACTTTTTTTTCTGATGTTTTACTGCGGCTTTTCACTCATATTCCTTGATATATTAGCCTAGTGGGAAATGTGGATGTGAGGAAGTCATCAACCTCTCCTGCCTCCCTCCTCCAGCTAGGAAATAGAAATTAACTGGGCGAGGATGACAGCATCTAATTCTAAACTTAGGATAAGCTGTGGAGTAGCAAAACGCTTCATTCACCACCTTGCCAGCAGTTCTCTGCTCTAACATAATCTGAGCTGGCATAACTCTGAGGAGATGCTGAATGTAGGGTAGTACTATAACTTCTATAAATGAAAAAACTTCAGGATATTTCTTGACTCTCTTCCAATTTCTAGTCTGGATCTAGGTCAAAATTAACTAGTCACCTAATCTGGTAAATGAGCAGTTTTATTTTTTGCACGCTCTTGTCCTTAAAAATGATAGTTAGAAGTAATCTGCCAGACCTTAGTACATGTTTTAGTCTGTCAGCTAATTTAAGATTTAGTTTCTTGCAACCTAACTAACTTGCAACCTAACTAACTTCCCACAAAGATTCTAAAGTTTCTAAAGATGTGTATCACGTCTTCAGTTTAGCCTAAATGAATTTTAAAGAAGTTTTGTCTTCCATGTTCTGTATAGGTACTACATGAACCTCTGTCAGAGGGTACATGAGGGACCCACAGGCTGCCCTGAAAGAGCCAGTATTTGCAGGAAAAGCTACAATGGAGATGTTCAAGTTCTTGGACTTGTTCATACACAGAAGCTGAATGTGACAGGTAGAGTTACTTTTTCTTCCTGTGGAGAGCTAGAGACTAAAGGTTTAAATCTTACAGCTTGGCTGTAGTAGTTTTTAAATTATACTGAAGCCTTTATATTGAAATATTTTTATCAGTGAATCTTCTGTTTCAAAAAACAAAATGTGATGTTTAAGGCATGAGAAAACATCAAAGCAAATAAACAGTGTTGTCATTAAAGCTTTAAGAAATTAATTATCTATCTGAATATAAAGAAATACTTTTATTACAGTCAGAATACCCAAACACTGGCACAGGTTGTCTCAGGAGATTGTGAAGTTTCCTGCCTTGGAGGTATTCAAAGGCTGTCTAGACATAGTCCTGGACAGCTGGCCCACATGACCCCACTTGAGCAGGGGGTTTGGACCAGATGACCTCCAGGGATCCCTTCCAACCTCAGCCAAGCTGTGATTCTATAGTTGTGAGAGGGCAAAGGAGCAAAGGAAATTTCTGACAGCTGCTTACAAAAACCTTTTGTCACCATTTTTTTTTTTTCTTCTAGGTGATACAGTGTATATTAGTTATACCAGTGGGCAAGAATGTAGGCAAAATAAGAAAGTAACAACAATTATAGAACTGAAATGTGCAAGAACAGTTGGCATGCCCATGCTGCAGAGGTGAGTGATAAATGTACATACCACTGATCTTCACAGCTGATTCTTTTGTACCTCTCCAGTAAACTCTTAAATCTAAGGACAGCGACTCTGCTCTGTTGGACAGTCTGTAAAATAATCCATGGTCTCTACTTGCAAGGCATAGGATCTTTGGAGTTTGTGCAGTTGTTCATTTTCATAAACATCATATTTTGTATTTATCCTAAAATTTCTGGGAAAAAAAAATTACGCATTCTGCTTCTGTGTTAGATCAGACAGTGGCTCAGATGCTGTTGTGTTCAGTGTCAGTAGTCAATGTCATTGTACAACCACTCTTAACTCTGTTCAAAATCTGTGTATTAAAGAACGTTTTCTGCAGGTTTGAGCTAATAAAGCATGGTTTATTTCTGCTTCAATACAGTGTATTTAACAAGAAGCTCTCTAAAATAAGGTATATGTGCATGATCACAAATACTAAGAAAGGTTGAGGACTTTTTGCTTTCCCTTGATATTATTAACACTATATTGCTTGCAGAATTGGAAAACTGAACAAAATGCTCTGTGTGAGTCAAAGAACTAGACAGCAAAGTCTGACTAGCAGTCATGGTTTAGGAATGGTATTCTCTAAGTCAGTGCTCCCACTGAAACTACACGCTGCTTGTTCCCCCCTTTCCCCTTCCGAGGGCTGGAGAGGAGACGTGTGGGGGGCACAAAAGGCGCAGATCATGGGTTGAGATAACACAATTTACTGGAAACAAATGAGATAAGAAAGAAACAGTACCAGCAATGCTACCAGTGGCAGAGGGTACAAGAAGGAGCTGAATGATTCGAACAAGACAATGATACATGGCTGGGGTCCCTGTGCCATGCTGTGCTGGCACAGGAGGGACCCCTTCTCCCTAGAAAAGATGTCCTTCCCCCTGTCCCTAGCAATGATGTGAGCTGGTATAGAATAACCTCTGGGTCCTGGCCATGGCCCTTCCTGGCTACTGCAAAAATACTACCCTGTCATGGCCAGAACTAGGACACTAGCTTATACCTCTTGTTCTGCTTAAATAAAAGGCACGTTTAACATGCTGCAGAAAAGCAGCCTGATGTGTTTGCTAGCTAAAATATATCAATAAAACCCTTTGATACACTGTGGGAATTCTGGAATTTTCAGTAGGAAGTTCAGGTGCAGCCAAGTCTTCTAACATCACAAAACTGCAGAAAAATCCAATGTAATTCTTCAGGTAGCTTTTTTTGAGTGCTGCTTGTCTATTTTAGCTTACTCTAGATGTGATACTTAGGCAGGACATTGTCACATGTGGGTTAGCAGTTGTCTTTTCCTTTTCTCAAGATACCAAAAACTTGTTACTCTTTCCTGGAATGATCAGCTTTACCTTTTATTTGGTAGGTTTGATGAAGAAAACTGTGCTTACTACATCACATGGGACACACGTGCAGCTTGTGCTGTGAAGCAGCAGGAGGTGGAGGTGGTGAATGGAACAGTCATTAATCCTGCAACTGGGAAAAACTTTTCTTTAGGGGATGTTTATTCCAAGTGAGTAAAAAAAAACCCGGAACAACAGAATGGTAGAAGTAGTTACCTTTCTGGAGAAGATGGCTAAACTGTGCCATTTATCATAGCTGCAGAGCACACCAGATGGTTCTCACAGTCAGTAGTGTATATGAGCCACTGAATTATGCTTTTATCTTCATACTGTCTTAAACCTTTGAAGGTATTTACATGTTCACTCACACATTGAAGGCAGTATAGCTGGAAAAATCAGCTTCCTGTGCTTGTTATTTCTACTTTGGGGAGGAAGCCACAGTCCTGCATCTTTTCTGGTTGCTGAATCGATCATTCAGCTTGCTCTGGAATCAGCCAGTGATGGCATCTACCACTCTTGCCAGTCTTATGTCTTGGGAATAACCCCAACCTGTGAGTTTAGGCTTAAGAATAGATTTTTCCTCTGTTTCCTCAGGTTGTACACAGCTTCTGGTGATGTACGGACAAATGGTGATAAATATGTGTATCAAATTCAACTTTCTGGTATAACAAACTCAAGTTCCCCAGAATGTTTTGGAGCAAACATCTGCCAGGTGAAAACCAATGAACGGCGTGTTCGGAGAGTTGGTTCTGCCAGAAATGCCAAATATTATGTTGATGGTAAGTACATGCTCATGTACCAGACAGAACTGCTTGATACTCTGTGAATTGCTTCATCAGAAAATGGTTCTTGGTTGACAACATCTATGCCAATCCATTTCTGTAAAGCTATCCCAAGTCTGTCTAGCATAATTTAGTTGGTTTTTTTTTGTTTTCTTTTTGCTGTGTAAGCTCAGTTGCTAATATGGCTTTAATAGGGGTTAGGGCTTGACACTTGAAGACTGAAAGACTTGAAGTTGGAAGACTTTCATCTTCTGTTTTCATCTGTGCTCATGCTGCATAAGCAATGATTTCCTTTAGCTAGCTACTTTTTTTTTTTCCCAGGGTCTAGTGTTTACAGATTGTTCTCAAGGAAGTAAACTATTTTTTCTTCTCATTGTAGATGATGATTTGGATGTCATATTTTCATCTGACTCCAGATGTGGTAAAGATAAATCAAAGTTTGTGTCTTCAACCATTTTCTTCCACTGCAATCCAGAAGAAAAGGAAGGCATCCCTGAATTCCTTCACGAGACAGCAGATTGCCAGTATTTATTTACCTGGTACACATCTGCTGTATGTCCATTAATGTGAGTAGACAACTGTTTCCTGAAAGCAGCTTTTGTCAGCACTTCTCAGAAAAAGGCTTTTTTGTATTTATTTGTCACAGTGATTGGGAAAAGGGGAAAAGCTAAAAAATCAGTAGGCTTATAGATAAATTGATGATCATGTATGCAGTCTTTGGCACATGACTGCTAAATTAAAGCTTGCCAAACTGATCTGGATCTAAAGCTGGAGAGTCACAGTGGAATTAATATAATTGTTTTCACTAAGTAAAAGCTACTGTAGCTGACAGAACCTGATGTTTCCTGTTGCTGAGAGGAGCAGACAGTTTATGGGTGAGGTGTTTGGTCCCCCTTGCCTTGCTGTCTGGAAAATTTTGAAGCTGTGACAAAGACTGGCCTTCCCCTCTATCTGCCCACTTCTTTAGTCTGGAATGGAAAATCATTACAGGTCTTCAAGGAATAATGAAGCATTTCTGCAATTAAATACGATCAGCTAATATACTGATTAATGAGGGGACAGTGTTAAAAGGGGAGTGTCTGTATCTAGGTGCTTACAATGTTCTTGACAGGTAGGCAGCCTCACTGTGAAAAATGGAGTGACTACTTCTGGGAGTGTTTACTTTCTGGCTGCTAGCTTGAAAGCACAGACCAGCTCTTGATTCTGATTTAAATCTGTTGAGGAAGTTTGGTGTGTGAAGAGCCATAGTCAGATGAGAGGTAGATAATTTCCGTAGCTGTTGCAGCTTGCTCATGTGCAGATTTGGTTCTAAAACAGCAGCTTTATAACTGCTGCTGTATAAGCTCCGCTGTCTTGACTGTAGTTTCATGCACTATTTGATAGCATACTGGGATGTAGGCACAGTACATACATTTGTGTTTTTCAAGTTGTTTTTTACTTAGATGAAATCCCCTACATTCAGTTCATGCCGCTATTAGGTGGGAATGACAGGATGGTGTGGCATGTCTTCTTTTAATCTGCTGTTTCTAATCCAGTTTAAAACAACTTATCAATAGATCTTGTCTTTTCAATTTACACTGCTAGATCAACCAATGATCCAGGAAACAATCAGCACCAGACAGATGAGGAGACCCAAATGCATAAAGGTCTTTCAAGGAGAAGCCAGGCTGTTGGTGCTGTGCTTAGTGTCCTCCTGGTTGTTCTCACTGCGTGTCTCATAATCTTGCTGTTCTACAAAAAAGAGAGGAGGTAAGAAATTAAGAGGCTTTAGAAGTTTCTTTGTCAGGACTTGGTTTTCTGCCAGAAATGAAAGGGGAATAGTAAGCTTTAGAGATTTGGGTTCTGTTTTTCAGTTGGCAGCATTAGCTGTCAAACTGCTGGCTCCTTTGAATTCTCCGTTACTATCTGAAGGCCCATGTAAAGAGGGCTGAGGTGTACAGTTGAGTTGGTCTAGTGTCTCTTGTGGGCAGCTGCTAATTCAGGAGCATAAAACAGTATGGCAATATTGTTAGTATTTAATATCCCTCCACTTTCATGGATTCAGACTAGATCCATACAGTGGTGTCAGGGAAAAAGTGCAAGTCCTGCTGTTCCTCTGCTTTTCAGATTTTTGGTTCAGTATGAAGGCCAGAGGGGTTTCAGAACAATCAGCCTGAAGCTGTAGCAAGGGGGAAGATGTACTTTATCCCTTACTGGATTTTGATAGAGTGGTTCAGGGTCAGTGTGATAGTTTGTACCTCATTTGTTGACATGCTTTATGTTGATGGTAAAATTCCAGTGAAGAAAAGTGAGGGCTAATAAGTGGATATAGTGTTCCTAATGTAGTATTCTTTTCTTTGTTTAGGGAAATTGTAATAAACAAGATAACAAACTGCTGCAGAAGATCATCTGGTGTTTCCTACAAATACACAAAGGTACCACAGTGACAAAATGAAATTTGTTTCCTGTCAAGTTTTCTTAATATGAAGCTTTTGTTAATAAATAAATAACCCTCTTAATTCCTAATTCCTTTAGTGCATGTAAACCATATGGCGTGGCATCAGGAAAGCCACATGGCTGATCTAAATATATATATTTATATCGTGAAGTGGGAAAGGAAGATAGAGTTGAGAAAATGAAGAGCAGTCCATAAATCACCAATTAACACGTAAATGTACAAGAAGAGAACAAAGTCTGTTTCAGCACAGTGAAAAGTGATGCTCTTGCAGTGTTTGCTCTCTCAGCTACCTTAAATCAAGGCCATGCACGCTCCCCGCCTGGGGAGATCAGTGTGTGTGTCAGTCTGGAGTGGCAGCTGCATTCTCCTCTTTTCTTTTCTTGCAGATAAACAGTGAAGAAGAAGCTAATGAGAATGAGACAGAGTGGCTTATGGAGGAAGTTGCAGCACCAAATCCAAGAACAGCAAAAGGAGGGCAGGAGAATGGTCACATTGCTACCAAGTCTGTTACATCTGAAGCCCTTACCTCTCTCCATGTGGATGACCTGGACAGTGAGGATGAAGTGTTAACCATTCCAGATGTAAAGATTCAAACAGGAAGAGGACTAGACAAGAGCAAGCACCCACAAAAGAAGCCACACAGTTTTGGCAGTGATAACAAATCTTATTTACTGAACGGAGGAAAGGAAACAAAAGCAATAGCAAGGCCAGGCCAGCATCAGGCACAGAACTCTACAAATACAGCATCATTTCATGATGATAGTGATGAGGACTTGTTGAATATTTAATAACCCTTCTTGTGCCTAATCAAATATATATAGAGAGATTATATATAACAGGACAACATTTCCAACCAAATATGAGGACTTCAGCCTGAAAGATTTTTCTGAATTTTGCCTTTAACAAGAAACCATTGAAAAGGGAAGAAGAGAAAGATTTCTTGATTGTTTACAATGATCTGTTCAGTAATGACTGGATTTCTGACATCCAGTTGGCTGAGTTAGTTGACTCTCTCTAGCCAGGACACTTTTTTTTTTTTTTTTAAGTCTCAGCATAGATGTTAAATGCTTGCTTAAAAAAGAAAAACCTTTGAAAGGAAAAGATTAAGGCTCAGTGAAGCCCCTGGCTTCTGAGACTCAAGTTATCAGACTACTATCGTTTTAACTCCTTGTATTTATTGATCCTCACTACTCAGGTTTGCTTAATAGTAACATGTTCTTCCTGCCGGCAGGGTATTCTTCTATGGGCTCACCCATTGTGAGACAAGGAAAAGTATAACTTTTGTGTGTTGGGATGATTTGATGTAAATTTTGGAACTGGTCTAATTTATCCTGTAAATTTGAATATCCATTCTAATTTAAACAGATCATTGGTTCAAAGGTATGGACTGAAAGGTACAATTCTGTATAGCTTTAGCCTGAAATGGTTGCTGTTCTTCGCATGGTATTTTTTTTTTTGGTACTAGTCATATGACTGACTTCATCAGTATTTGCCTAAGCAGCTGACAAGCACCCAAAGATTTTTTTTTCCTTGATTATGGCTGGACTAGGCCAGCTGCACAGAGAACCAGACTTTTCAAGGACGTAGAAGCAGAGTTCCTATGTCTGCACTACCCAGTTTGTCATCACCAAGAAAAACCCAAGGACTAGAGGAGCTCTAGTCTGCATAATGCCTCTCTCTGGTATTAATTTCAAGAAAATAAATTTGGGCCAATATTTTCTGATAGCCTAATTTCTAGTCTGTATGCTATGATCTTGGCCATGGCCATTGATTTGAAATGTTGCTGGTAATAAATGCAAGTCAGTTTTTCTCTAGCAGTCTTGCTCCTCTCCAGGTGTTTCTTAATTAAATTATGGACAATATTAGGGTTTCAAAGCATTGTACAAGAACATGCATTGGTCAGAATTTTTTGAAACTTTTTGTTGTTCCTTTTGGCTGGCATATTCAGTTTCAACAATGGTTTCTTTTTATAAAAACTCCATTTTGAATGAAAATAGTGTAATATAAAGTATTCAGCAATTTCAATAAAAGATATGAAGTGGGTATTCCAAATCCCACATCTCAAGTCTGGAATCTTTCTTGCACTGTTCTGTATGCTGCTTACCAGCCTGGTGAGGCCCTGTCCTGCTGTGATGGATGCCTCAATCATGTCACTCAAAATGAGAACCAGTGTTTGATAACAAAGATCAGAATATATAGGTAGGCCCTGGTGTTGTATTTGTTTTTTAATCAGGCTTGGGTATTAGTTTTGTATTGTTACCAGTGGAGCTGGTAAGTCAGTTTGGCTTAAGCTGCATGTTTTCAAACTTAAATCAGCATTTTTCATATTTATAATTAGGAGAGCTTGGAGAAGTGGGAGGTTTGATGGTGTATTTTAAGTGCTGTCTTTTATCATTACAACAGTTCTCTCAATGCATGTCAGAAAGTTCTGCTTTCCTTGCCCAGGTCATCAAGGCTGGCATTTTGGAGTTATTTGCTCCATGAACCAACTGCATGAAATTATTTCTCCTGTGTAAAATCACATTGGTTTGGGCTGTGCCTAGCAAGGCTTAGGTAGAACAGAGCTACTCTGTCTGGGGGTGCTTATCTGAGCAAAAACAATGTTATAATTTGCTTCTGACAGCAGTGAGTGACTTCAGTGCCTGGTCTTGGAACTATTGCCCACTTTTTACCCAGGCTTTTATAGGTAGCCTGGCTGAATCTTACCTCATAGAGAGCTGGATGCATAACCAGCTTCACCAGACTATTTTCCCCAGAAGAATGCTCTACTTAACTGTATGGAGGGACAAAGGGTTATGAGATGGCTGGGCCAGGAGCAGAAGCCTTGCCAGATGGCAGCACGACTCCTTGGGAAGTGTCCCTAAGAAACCCACCTGCCTGGCAGAGGCCACACAGCCCCCTCTGGGCTGGCTGCAGAGAGGATGGTGGGAAATAAGGAAAACTGGCCCAGTCTGGATCAAACTTCTGTAGTTCAAGGTAAACTTTTGCACTCCAGTGCCAACTGTTTAAATAAAACTGTTGGAAAAGAAGTGATGTGAGGGAGTTTTGGGTGTGTTTTTAAGATGCAGCCTAATGCCTTAGCTTCACCCACTTCCCAGGCAGGCTTTGACTTCAGTTCCCTCTCTCCAGCTGACTACACACATCCCACTGCTGAGGAAGGTTTGCATGGGCTGGCTCTGAGCGTGGTGACTGCTGTGCACATTTGTGCCCCTGTTCCCCTCCCCAGCTCCCCATGGAACTCCTGCAGCCGGGGGGAAAGGTCTGGTGTGGGGTGGTGGTGCTGTACTTGGCTGAGGGTGACACAGCTGTGAGTTGGCCAGGAGAGGAGTCCTTGTTAACTTGGTGTAGATGTTCCTGATGGAGAAGAGGATGAAGCAGGAGATGAGAAAGCACATCTGTGTGATGTGGGGAATGATCTTTGAAGTGTTGGTTTGCAAAGCAGCTTTCACAGCTGCTCAGGCCACTCTTGGTCTGTAGTTGATGAGCAGTGAGACCAAGTTCTCTTTCAACACCTGGGCCAGAATGGCCTTCTAAGCCGTTTTTTTTTTTTTTTTTTTTTTTTTTTTGTGAGTGTATTGTGTCTTTAATTTCTTCCTTGTTGGCTATTGCTTTCCAGGCAATTTTTCACTTTTTTAAAATGTCTTTTAAATGTTACCTCCACTGAAGCTTTTCTTTGTGATGGAAGGAGGTTGCTGTTGTCTGCAAAAGATGTAGGAGTAGCTGGTATTTATCCGTAGGCAGGACAATGTACCACTGGAGCCTAACACACATTTATTTGAGGGGCCTGCAATGAAGTCTGTCTAAAGTCCTAGAGGTCTTCTGTGGCTAAAAAAAAAAAAAAAAAAAAAAAAAAAGCAGCTGTTTTGGCCATGAATACTGTATATTGTGGCTTTCCCAGTGCTATTTCCCACAGCTATTCCCGGTGCATAATTCTGTAATGAATGCTTTTTCTCTTTTGGATCACTGCAAAAAGATGGCAAATATGCTCAGGTGAATCCCTGATACAGGTGGGAAGAGGTTTTCCTTGGGAATGGAAGAATGTGGAAGGTGAGAGGTGAGACACGTGACAGAAGTTTTCAGGAAAGCTGTTCCTTTACGGCCACATGGCTCAATGTACAGACATTCCTTTTTCAGAGTGTACCCACCTGTTTTTTACAGATCCTGGCTAAGAAGCTTTGCTCACATGAGGTGCCCAGCCATTCTGCACTAAACCCATGTGTTGCTTGTATGTTGGTAGAATTTTCCATCTATGTTTGCTGCCTAAAAATGCCTATTATGTGAGGAGCTGACATGCCTAACTAAAAAAATAACCCCAAAATCCTCCAAAAAAACCCAAAGGGCTGTGGCCCATAGGGGCTTTTCTAGAGAGCAGGAATGTGTAAGTGCTCTGATGAGGGGTTAAAGGCAAATTAACCTTGGGTGAATTAAGGTCTGATTTCAAATGAAACCTAAAAAGTAGAGCTTGCAACATGTAGTTTAATAATTTATAGAGTTAGTCTTGACTTTTGGTCAAATATCTTTGTTACTTAAGTAGCTTTGCTGCCAACTAAATATATCAGGGCTGCAGAGAGGACCTGGTTGAGGGTTTTGAGGTGGTTTGGGTGCCAAAATGCCAACCCTAGATGACATTTTGGAGCACGTTGGAGAATTTGACAGGTTCCAGAAGCAAACCTTTTTCGTCCTATGTTTGTTATCTGCCTCCTTCACCCCAGTGTACGTGGGGGTCGTCTTCTTCGGCTTCACCCCTGAGCATCGCTGCTCCAGCCCCGGGGTGGCTGAGCTGAGCCAGCGCTGTGGCTGGAGCCTGGAGGAGCAGCTGAATCACACAGTTCCCGAGTGGGATGGCCACGGGGCCAGCTTCAGCAGCCGCTGCAGGAGGTACGAGGTGGACTGGAACACAACAGGCATCAGCTGCACTGACCCCCTGGGCAGCCTGGGGGGCAGTGGGAGCACCGTCCCCCTTGGTCCCTGCCGGGATGGCTGGGTCTACGACTCCCCAGGGAGCTCTATCGTGACAGAGGTAAAAACAGCCCCCTTTGCCCTGTCCCCTCTGTTACAGACAAGGTGAGGGGTGGGGGAGGGGGTTGGTGGAGCCTAGGCTATGTTAAAATATCCCCTGCTTACCTGGAGAAGGGATTGTCTCTTACTGTGACCTTGCGCTTGGGGGTTTACAAGTCATCTTCCCTCTGTCCTTGCTGTGAAGTGTTGCCTTGACTGCTCAGGAGGCTTATATCTCCAGCTGGGGAGGAAAGCATATTTCAGCAAATAAATAGATAAAGTCCAGTTCTCAATGGCATTCCTGTCACATGAGAGGTCCAATTGGTGAAGGTGTGTAAACAGTGCAGCTAGCAGTGCTGCAAACAAAACGGGCCAATGCAATGGTCTTGATTTCTTTCCCCCACCCCCTTCTTTTTTTTCTTCCTTTCTTTTTTTTTAATGAATAAAGTTGATTTTAAATAAAAATGAATTGCAGTGTGGGGAAAGGTCTTGCCTCCCACAATTAAACAGCTTAGGACAAGAAGAAACTGTGGAAACTGTGTTCTCAGAAGGAGTGTGAATATACTGAAAGTAGTACTTTAGCTACTTGCTGTACTTTAGCAGTTCAGGTGCTTTAAGAATAAACCAGTACCTGGGATGTCAAGCTTGATGTCATCATAGAAAGTTCTACCAAGTGTTTAGAGGTGGTCAGGATTCTTTCCCCCATATGTCTAACACAGGAGCAATTAAAATCTGCACTCTAGTGACTTCAGCATTCATAGTTTTCTAAGAGATTCGTCCTGGATATAAGGGGGTGCACTCTAAGTGTACCTCTTTCAGCAAGTTATGGGCTGTGAGATATGAAAGGGAGGAAGGGAAGCACCTCAAATGCAGGGTGAGCTCAGCAGGCACATCTCGCTGGACAACGCTCCAGCACATCCCATGGTCAGATGCCCCCACCATCATCTCCTGAGGTTGTGGGAAGCTGAGCACTTGCAGTCTGTATGGGCTTATGTAGTCATGCTCTCACATTAGCTATCTCCCCTCTCCTGGTGAAGGGGGTGCAAGGCCCACGGGCTGCTGCCTTCATGGGGTAAGCAGATGTGTCACACAACTCGGCATTTCGTCAATGAGTTCTTGGTTCTCACTGTTTCTGTGAAACTTCTCAGGCTCTAATGTTGTCCCCTGCTCTGATAGCTAAGAAAAGGAAAGGATAGTGCAGTGTAAATCCTATTATTTCAAAGGAAAAATTTGCATGTGGAAGAAGGTCCTCATGGGAAGTCCCATAAGAGCATCAGAAGAAATATTTGGCTTTGTGTTAATTATGGATGCATAGATTCAATTAAACCCAGCAACCAGGAGGAAGGGAAGGGATTCTCAGTCATATTAGGAGAAGTTTTGGCAATAACCTTTTCTCTAGTAGCTGTTATATATTTCTACCAGGACATGACTAGAGGCAAATATACATGGTATAAAGCTTAGCCCTGGGTAAAAAATGTCTGCTCTCCAGACACATACAACAATGTAGTTGAGCTAAAGAACAGAGCAGAGAGAAAATGCTGTAGCCTCAGGGCAGATGCAGATACTTCCACCCTCCAGAAAGCCAGTGCTCCATGGGACCTGGGACAAGGCAGGCTCCTGAAGGTGTCGAAGATGCTTCTAGTAAAGGCATCACCCTTAGTCCTGAGTGGTCTGTGGAGACTACTCTGCCATGCCAGGGTATGAGGCAGCAAGAACTGCTTAGAAATGTTCATCATCAGCCACAAAAAAAAGCTGTTTGAAAAACTCAGGGTGATCGTCAGATCCATGCTGGTTTGATCACTGAGGGCCAATAGAGGTTCCAGTTTTTCCAATACAGGTGCCAGTTTTGACAGATAACAACTCACTTATGCTCTTTCCACAAAAGAGAGATGAGACAAGAATGGGAGATGCCAGTAAACTGCTGAAGGGCTTTTTCCACTCTTTAATGCTGGACAATTAGTTAAGTTAGTAGGATTTCTTGTGCTGACAAAACAGGCATTGACCGAGAAACAAGTTTAAATCTTTAACTGAAGGAGAGTTGTGGATGTGAGCCAGCTCCTCATTTCA